CACATAAACAGAGAACTCTCTTCACCTTTTTTCAGATGTCTGATAACTTGTTTTAATAAGTATGAAATTTCAAGCCACATTAGTGAATCAAGTCAGTCACAATATTCTCCAGATCTATAATCTAAAACACCTTAACATTGCTTCCACAACAACAGACAGCAGGGAGGAGAGAGCAGAGTATAATCGACGGTTTGCATAAGTCGCCACAATCACTACCCCCTGAGCGGCAAACATCCAACAGTCAGCATCTGTCACCGTGAATTCACATGGAAAAGCAACTTTAATTGTCAAGGGGTGCTGCGCAACCCACTGCATAAACACATTCAGAAAGAATTCTGGCATAACTCTATTATAATTAGCTACAATGTATTTACTTAAGTATTTTTTACAGACAACCAGATGTCCCCCTGAATTTAATCAGGGTGACAAATCCTGCTATGTCATGCCTTTAGGCTTTTTTTAATGCATTGTTACGCCCCTGATCTTGAGGTTTATCTCTATAATAAATGTGCGGATCACACAGCATCCAACCGATAGAGCTCAATGTTCACCACAGTTTACAGTTAACCGTACACTCACTGAGCACTTTATTAGCAATTACTTTATTCATGCAATTATCCAATCAGCCAACCATGTGGCAGCAGTGCAGATACAAGTCAGGTGCTTCAGTTAATGTTTTCAAACTACTCAGTGTAGTTTTACAGTCTGTTTTCTCTGCAAAAGCTATTTTCATTCTTCATTCTTATTTGTGTGTTTTTACATTCAATATGAATACCAATAAATTCCTGTTTTTTGGGGGGTTTTTTGTATAAAAACCAAAAGTATTTAGCGCTTAATATAACTTGATGTAATTCTTCTGACATTTGAAAGTGTATGCTGCGCAGTCATAACAAAGCAATAAATCGCTTTATTTGTTCTTTTTCTCTGTCATGTCTCTGAGCATTTCTTTCTTGAAATGCTTAGTCAGATTGGCAAAACATTATGGAAACTGTAGGATTACATTCTGATATTAGCACAAAAAAATACAGCAGAAAGCAGATTAGATTTGCTGTTATGATCTTTATCACCGCTACTTGGTCAAAGATGGTATCTTGTAGTCAAATATTTTCATACTTGTCACTGGCATACATACATACATCACGAAGAACATAAAGAACTAAAGAAAGGCAGGTCAAGTAATTTGTATGATTTCTGCTTAGTTTCATCAAATGGAAGATTATTAGTGTGAATGAGATGTATCACAAAAGCAGAAACTTCAATGACATTAATAAGATGTAAAGATGTGCTACATTAAATTATTGAGATGAAAATTTAATGAAACAGGTACAACCCAGCAATAGCTCTCTGCCTTTTCTGTCACTCTTATTCATCCAATCGAGCAAAGAATGGGAAAACAGACTTTGGCATTTATATGTAATCAGAGTATGAGTCATTTGACTAATTGACTCAGCTAAGCTTGATCATTTCAACTGCTCACTTCTGTCTCATTAGACTTTATATATATATAGTCTGAAAAGGATCTATTATTCCACTGGTGGCTGGTTTGCTGAAATTAACAGGAGAGTATTTACCAAAGAAAGAATATCTGAAAATGACCTCCTGTCTAACTGAGGGACGGTGTCTCAGTTTCACTGACAAATTATAGAGAAGGAGAGTTTCCAGAGCTGTCAGATAACCGGTGATAGTTGCAAATACAGCCTTTGAGGAGTCATAAATCGAAGGTGAAATGAGCAACAGCAGAAAACTGCTGCAACAGAATGCAATAGTCTGAGACATTCTTTAATGAGGCAAACATGCCACAGAATAAGTCATAATGATAACATCATAATATCTTCTAAATGGAACAAAGATTCTCAAAATTATCACTATCAAAACACACAAAAGCAAAGCTGACTCTTAACTATACTAATAGGCTGTTAGAAATGTCAAATATATTTTTGAACCAACATACAGTACAAATTATTATTATTTATTGGGAAATAAAACTCTTCTTTTGGCTTTACACTAGTTTCTCCTCAAGAAATAGTTAAAAGACTGGCCATTCATGTAAAACAAGATCAAGAATATAATGGCTCTCACTCTGATGAAAGCCTCTGTTAACCAAAATGTCATTGAATTAATTTTAATCCCCAAAAGGAAGTAGCTAAAAGACATTTTTCATTTCAGTCTGTACAAATAGTATGAAATGCTTTTAAATGTTTGTATTGTGTCTAACTGCTATTGTCGGTGTTTTTAAACCAAGCATCTTATTACATGATGGCTTGGCTAGATATTATAGTTTCAGTATTTTTTAAAGGAACGTCTCCCGTCAGATGAGCACAGGATATATATTTTCCCAGTTTCTTGGGTTTTGACTGAATTACCTTGTGTCTGGTGGTTAGTGGTTCTGTTTTTATACTTACATTAATAGACTTCTTTTTTTGTTTTGTGTGTGTGGCCTGCAATCTTTCCCCTTAATTACACCTACTTACTTGCTCAAGTATCACCTGCACTCATGCTACCAATGACAGACTTGACTGTGGGCAAGTCCTGACCAAGGGCATGACCATGAGGGAACAGAGAACTGTGTTAGAGGAGGCAGAAGTTTTGCTTGCATCAGCTAATCGCCTATCAGTGACTAACATAGTTTTCAAATCCATCTCTGACTCAAACCTCAGGAAAACACAAAGAGATAAGAGACAGATTGCAGAAGGCAGAAGGGCTCAGTGACAGTAGAGCCAGTTGAGCTTCAGGCTGAGGAACAAAAACAAGCTCATAAGATAGATTTTTGGCGGTCTTAGAAGGAAGTTACTTCTTCCATCAAGACACATTCATTCAGAATGAGCCAGCAAGCAAGAGAGCAACTTTTTTATGGCCACAATGCAACTGACAATTGAGCCAGCCAACGCAACCAAGAAGATCACTGTCACCCTCTGAGAGAGAGAGAGAGGTATCCAGCAAAGGCCACTTCTAGTTTCTCCTCCATTATTGTTGTTTCCAAGTGAAGGACCGCTTCTAAATTTATTGGACAATGGGAAAAACCACAAATGTTTTTTATGCTCTGAGTTGAACTTTTTGGCAACCTGAAGTGTTCAGATTGCTCCTGTAAAAATGCAAGGCGCTCAGAGCGTCTAAAACATGAGGCACCCAGGGCACAATAGCAGCACACAAAATGCTTACTGCCTACAGAAAACAACTGAAAATTAGACGCCTCTCACTATAAAAACCACATGCTGTTTGATCAGGGTCTAACCCAACCAAGACTGCTCCAGGATGAGGGCAACTGTTGACCTTGGTCCTTCTCACCCTCTGAGAGAGTACAATGCTTTTGAAATAGTTGTTGACAGTTTTTTATAAGGTGGTGCTTAATAGCTTAAAGGCCTATACTATCACCTGATCATGTGTTTATAACATTTTAGGAGACTAGTATTTGGTTACAAATCCAGAAGACTCAGAACATTAACATCCAATATGAGCTGTTTCTGAAACAGTATTCCTTCATTTTATTATTTAGGAGAGTTAAGCTCAGTTGATTTTTCTCCAACCAGTCGTTTACACTATTTCTTCCTATGATATGTCTATATAAGCTTATGTGCTTCTGCTGAAAGAGGCTGCCAGTGGTTTTACGTGTGAACCAAATCATGGACTTGAAAGCTTATGAAAAGTCCAAAGAGTTGTAGATATGGGTCTATGTTCTCAGCTTTAGTATATTTGGACAGCTGTCAATAAGACTATGGATAAAAGAAACCAAACTCTCAAACTGTTACTAAAAAAGTTGTTCACAGCATTTTTGCTCTGGGGGACTCATCTGTGATTGTGAATATATGTCTTAAGCTTAAATTCTTAACAAGTCCTATACATGAAGAAAAAAAACAGAGTATCGTATACAACATTACTATTGCATTAGAATTATAAAAGGTAATGCAATTAACTTTTAAGGAAAATGCGGCTAATTTCTCAAACTACTGAAAAATTAAAAAAATAAATCATATTGCAATTATTTTGGCAGATATTGCGATTGCGGTATGAGTCATAATTTCAGTTGGAATTGTCATTTTTACATTTCATTTTCACTGAAAAAACTAACAACAAACAAGCATGTTCCTTTAGCTCTGGAGAATATGATTTGTAGGCCAAGCCATCTCTGTAGCACCACAATGCTTAATTTATGGTATGTTGTGACACACTTACCTTTATGAAAAAAAACTGCAGCTCCTGTGGTTTGGATATTGCACTTAGCCATATTGCGATTTTGATAATATTTCAATTAATTGTTAAGCATTTCAGAGGAAAAATATATTTTTCTTGCATGTATGAGATATTTGTCATTTTTATGTGTAGCACAAGTCCTCCAGTACACTGTGACTAGTGAAATATAGTAGCCATGTAAAAGACAAAAATCTAGATCCAGTCTCAGGATGTCAGGTGGCATCTCATTCTTGCCAAGTTACCACACAAATACAGCCAAAAATCATAAATGAAGCTCAAACCAAGAAATTCTGTGTGGCTAGAAATATGTAAGTAGGGAGCTTTGTGTTTTCATCTTTCACTTTTCAAATATATGTTATTTGCTATTTTGTCAAAATTGTTGTCATATTTTAGTTTAAATAAACAAGTCAAACCATGGTTGAGTTGCTTTTACTGTTAGTGCCAATGTTTTTCAAAATTTAGATATTACCAGGGTTACCATCGACCTCTTTTCATTATGTCATAAAAATAATGTTATTACTTGGCCTTCTTGTACTGGGAGAGCAGTGCCACTATCTGTTTAATCCAAAATGTAATCCTGTTCATTTCCTGGAGAAATCCAATAATTAACTGTATAATGCAGCATAAGAGTTCAAAGTTGTTTCAGTGATGGTTTGATATGTTATGGTAAATCTACAAATGCTCATTGTGATTATAATTTATTAATACAATAATATTACAGTACTATATACAGTGCATTTAAGAACAAGGATAAGAAAATTAGTAAGGTAACATTTTTTTCCAAGTATGAGATATAAGACATCAAACATCACTTCTGTATTAGATTTGTTTTTACCATTGAACACGATGACCACAATAAGAGATAACAAAATCAATGTCAAACACGAACTAACAGCTGATTAATATTTACAAGGACTTCAGTCATAGAAAAATGGAAAGGCAGCAGTGTGTAAAGAGGTGAGCAGAATTTTGATAATGATCATAAAGGTGTTGATGCACTAGAAAGAAAATAGTTCAAATTTTAGAAGTCTTTCCTGTTCAAATACAGTAAAATTACAACAGCTGGCCTGCAGTAGTTATCCCCATTATGATGCTGACAAACAAGACAAATACTGACCGACCTCTACTGTAGCTGCTGTGCAAGTCAAGTCAGAGTGCAGTACAAATACACAATGTACTAAATAACATTGTGTTGCATTTACTGTGTTTTTGCAGCTGAAAGTGCTCCAAGCAATGGATCTGTCCTTTATAATAATATATATATAAGATATATATTTCTGGTGAAATCCTTCATTTTAAAGTAACTCTCAGCACAAATATCCATCACTTGTACACTGGATGTCATCTGTGTGGATCTCAAGACGCAGCAGTTACATACACAGCTACTGTATGGACCCGAAATGCTGACAGTGAGCAGTGTCATGTGGATGTTCACCTCTCATCTTTTCATCTGAAAGACTTCCGTCATCCACCCTCTGGTCATCAGTAGTAATAGCTTCCAAAAACTGCCACCACGCAGAACAAGCTGTCCTGAAGAGGTGAAACACACAGAGAATTGAAGAAAAAACTGTCTTTGAGAGGTCTGCCCCCCCTTCTACTCCCCTTCCCAACAGAGTGATCAGAACAAAGCCACCTACGTTCATGAAGACATCTTCTGCATAATTGTCTGTGTCAGCATCCCACAAACACCTGGAAGACATCCTAAAACACAAGAATAAAGAGCTGACAGATAATAAAACATGACAAACTACAAGCCAAAAATGTGTTGAGTCAATACCCATGTGGTGCAGAGTCAATAAGTTTACTTGAAACCATCTTCATAACACAACATTTTTAATTTCACTGGTTATTTATAAACATTGATTATGTAAAAGTGAAGAGCAGAGCTGAGCTAATTTGACTACACTACTGCAAATTATTATCTGATGCTGGGCTATCAGATGCTAGCTACTGCTAATGAAACATTGCTTAAATAATGCTATATTAAAACTTTAATCACAGCAAGAAAGAAGGCAACATTATCAGGAAATATTAGTTAGATAATGCCATCAGCTCAGTGCCAGTGAACATTTTCTAAAATGTATACTGTATACTGTAAGGACACTGAAATGAAAGTGCCTGTGCCACTCTGTTGACAAGTTCATTGCTGTAGAAATACTATGAAGCCAAAAATCTCTGGGTTCCTCTCAACCTGTCGTCAACAGACAAGAAATGTATCACTTGCTCTCCCCAGACAACACAGTATACCACTAAACTATACTGTTTTACAAACTGTAACAGCTAATTTGTGTTTACCAGTACAAAATGATCACTCACTTGACTCCCTGCCCCCGTTGTTCTCCAATGACCACCTGCACGACAAGCTTATATCGGTCAAATCCTGCATCTGTTGAAGAAGAGAAATTAGCTATAATAGTGTATATCAATGTGCAAATGCTGTGAAGTGACAAGATAAATGTGAGCAGTACTGTGCTACATTTGCTGTGTAGCATTCAATTAAGTAATCGTGGTTTGTATGAGGCAACAGGAGGGAGGTTTTAGGTGCTGACGCATACCAGCCAGGCCAAAACAATTCAGTAACTTTATTATAGGAGATGGTGATAAGAAAGGCTTACAGGCAGGCCAGCAGGCAAGCTGGTGGGCATAGATGGAACAAAACAGGTAACAGGATGGCAAGAACACTAACAACATGCAGAACATGCATGATGCAATGATCTGGCAAATGACAAGGGAAAGACAGCTGACATGAAAACTATGAGCTGCTGAGGAAATGGGGAGCAGGTGAGCAGGTGGGTGTGGGAGTCAGGTGACCAAGACAAAGAGGAAACTCCGAGGACATCTGGTGGATGAATGGAGAGTGGCAGGGGACAGGGGAGAATTGCAAAAATAAACAGGGCTGAGACAATGGTGACTTGAGTCGTAAAAAAAAAAAACATTTTACTAGAAGCAGTTTTTTTTTTTTTTTTTTTTTTTTTTTTTTTTTAAATGGGAGATATTTTATCTGTTAACTATATTTGTAGAGACAAATATCGTTATATTCAGCCTCATTCTAAAAATTTCATTTTTATTCACTAACATTGTACTTGTTTCCATCTCCAAGGGATTCCTGTACTGCCAGCCACACCAAATGGTACAATATATTTAATCTGTCACCCTTGACAACAGAGAGCATCAATAACTCAAAAAGACATGTTCAAACGAAAATAATATCACTTTTTCACTATTCTAATTTTGTTTGTGCATTACCTTACAATGAATTTAGCCAATATCAGACTCTGTACTTCCATTGCCATTTCACTCGTATAATGAATATCAAATCAACCTGTGAAATGACACAACTGAGCAACACTTCTTCAGTTTTCCTACTCTTATTCAATTAGGTGTCTGGATCACAAGAGAGAGGAAAAGCATCACTCACTCTTCACTTTGTCCTTAATGCACTCTGCCAGTGAACGGGACAGCTCCGAGACTTCCTCTGGTTCGTACTTCAGCCCAGACAGTTGCTCCCTCACTATTTCACGAATGCACTCCTTCACAATGGCTGGTTTAAACCTAGAAGATTTATCAGTGAGCATCATCAGGCTCCCGCAGTACATGTAGAAATCTCTTAATAAATGATGGTTTTACACTTGTATCAATGCCCCACACCATGAGTAATATGTTATATTGTAGTCAGCACATTATATTTTTAACCTTGAACGGTAATATATATCTATTCATTTCCGTTTTGTGCTTTAAATGCAATTCTTTGAAGTGTTGAATTTGAGTGCTTTGGTATAATTTTATTGTATGAATTCGTGAGGTTCCTGCAAAAGACAACTGAGGAAGTTCAGTAAACTTCTTAACCCAGGTCAACAATGAGGCAGATAAATGCATTAACACGACCACACATCATTTACCAACATTGGGCTGGAGACTGGAGGGACTTTAACACTTTTCCCACATATGTACACAGCTAATGTTATTAGCTACGTAACAAACGTCCGTTAACTATCGCAAGTACTAGCAAGATAGCAAGTTACACTGGAAAACACTGATATAGTGACTAGCGAGCAATCTGTCGTCAGCAATGAACTCGTTAGCTGAAAGCTAACGTTACCCACTAGAAATGATATCGAACCACATTGACCCACTCACTTGTGTTGATGATTAGGTCGTATGAGGTATGTATCTGACCCCTCCATGGCGAGTTAATAGTATGGCTTCAACAGGACGTTGCTAACGAGCTAATCTTTGTGGAGTTATAACCGTTACCATAGAGACTTCTTGTCCTTGTTTCCTGTTTCAAAATAAGAGTATGGTGAATACATCCGGTAATAGAAATCAGTAAATCGTGGGGTGTTTCCTATAAATTTAGTACTGTTAAAATCTTTTTTTTTTTAAATTGAATAGACTTGATTCATCTTTCTTTTTTCTTTTTTTTTGATATTTTTTTATTCCTCCCTCTGACTGATATTCTTTTAAAAGCAGGTGAAATTGCCCAGGAAAACCCAGGAAGTAGAGGCATACAGATATTAATGATCCCACAGAGTTAAAATACACACAAATTCACATCTGACTAGAAGCTGTCTTGTGCAGTCACTGATCTGTCTGATCTGTTGGCCTCTTAGTGGCTCCACTGTAGCAGTTTGGGGTTAAGGTCCAAGGGCACCTCGGTTTCTGCTATATGTTCTTCAAATATCAACTCTTCAACTCAAAGATGTTGCCTAAACCTTCGCCCTAAACCAAACCGCTTCTGTCTTCTACTATATGTATTTCTGTCTTTATCAGTAATGTTTGAGAGGAATCAATATGCCTTCTTTTTATCTTTAGTCACAATTTTCTGTCAATGACAAGGAAAGCCTTACTTGATATAATAGTCTTCTAAAATGTTACTATAACCTCCCCATCTCTTTCATTTCAAGCCCCCTCCTTTTACTCCTACATGAATCAGTATGAGCAGGGTGGTATTCAAAGAGGTAACATGGTGCTTCCAATTAACTGAGGTTTTCATCATGAGTTCTGAACTCTTCTGCTTTCAAGGCCTCTTCAGCTGAAGTCAAATCTGAACATGTCTCATTTGGATTCACTTGCCTGACGAAAGGAGCACAAAGTGCAATGATTTCAGGAGCAAATTAAGACTACTGTTTGGCTCTAAAGATCAGTGTCTGACTTTTACAGCAGCAGGGATACTGGGAACTCTACACCATCCATATCTCCCATTTCTCAAATTTCAAATCTCCCACATACTAATTGAAAGAAAATGTTTATAGATTTTTCCACATTACACCGTACATATTAAGATTGGTGTTTCTTTTTATTTCAATCCAGATATATTCTTTAGTATGTATCACATACAGTATAGGTCAAATATCTGCATAATAACAAGGGTTCCCCTGGCTGCACCATCCAACATCTGCATAAGCTAAATGCAGTGCTAGAAAATACTAGCCAATCAAACAACACAAATCCAACGATTCTCTTACAAATCTACATGAAGCTGTATTAAAAAATTAAAGTTGCTCATGTGAATTTCAGATCAATCATGCTTGTGTCAAACAGCCAAAGGGGTAAACAAAAAGGCTTTACATGTCTGATAATATTGAAGCTAATGGCTGAATGCTGTAATTCATGACATTCAGTACTAATCATCATTATGTACAGGTTCTTCATGAGGTACAAATTTCAAATTACATTAATCGAATTACTCGCCCTTCAGACATTAAACCTGCAAATGAGCCGGCAGACCTTAATGTTTTTTTATTGGTTTGTTACAATGAGTTGCTGACAACAGGTGTCTACATGCATTGTTCTCCTGGAAGAAATTAAAGGTTTACGAGTTTATTGTTTAATGTTAAGCACCATTTATTCTTGCAGTTCCAACACTGATGGCTGAATGTGACTCAGGTTAATGTGTAAACATATCACTTATATATTTTTTAATTGTACAGTGGTTGAATTGGAAATACACACTGTACCAAGAGGTTTAAATTATAACTGTAATGAGCAAAGTACTTTTGCACATGTCACAATTCGTGTTTAATTTTGAAAAAAAATCAACATAATGTGTAATTTCCCCTGGGGGGACCCATACTATTGACATTTTTACATACAACTATATATAGGTGCACTGTTGGATGTGAGGCAGAAAACCTTCAGCAGGTGGCAGTATTTCACAAACACAACTATGGAAAACTATAAGTTTTCATTTCTCTTGCAGCCTGCCTCCTCCTGACTAGTCAGTAAATACACACACATAAAAACAATTGAGAGCATGATGTTGTGATGTTGTGATGAATATAAAAAATAGACTCTGACCTCCAGGCATACAAGACCACAATGATCCACATAAACAAAGAGTAGTTACATTTTTCTTCAGACTGCCTAGCACATACTACTTTTCTGTGTATACTTATCTTTCTCACAAGTAGACTATTCATGAACTAATTGTATTTTTCAACATCTGACTGAGCAACACAAGCCTTTCCCCCATCTTGGTCATTTCCTTAATAGTGAAATTAGACCTGAAACTTAAGGAAACCAATTTTAAGTTTCGTTTTCCTCTAAGTTTCAGTTGAGAGGCTGATGTGTCATGCCACAACCTGTTTATTTACTGTACAGATCAGCTGTTAGACACACAGACACACACTCACACACCAGCACCTTTGGCACTACCAGGATGGCACTATCAGAGTGGACACACATCTTCCAGAATGCAGCAGAAAATCTCTTGCATGGAGACTCCTGGGATCTGGAGTTTGATTCCTCAATTGTACCCGAGCAACCCCAGTATGGATGGCAGCAATACATCAGGAACACAAGTGCAAGGTCAGTGTGCTGGACTACTGGTGATCATTGTAAATTATTTTTATACAGACAGTCTGATATATTGTAGGTTAACATAAAAAATTGATGGACCCCTGTCTACAAACTTTTATTTGAATACTGATCAAAGTTTACAAACACGATACACAACACATCTACAATACAGACGTTTTCAGTTGATGATAAATATTATGCTCAGTGTAAGCATTATAGAACTGGCTATAAGTGTTGGAATACTTAAGACCTATATACTTAAGACCTATATACTGTATATATACAGGTCAATATATATATATATATATATATATATATGTGTGTGTGTGTGTGTGTGTGACACTGTCACACAGAATTTAAAAAAAATGTATAGAAAGTTAATAAGAAAAGGGACTTAAAGACTTTAAGATATAAATATGCAGTATGTGCATAAAATGTATTAAAGTATTAAGGTCTGTGTGTGTGTGTGTGTGTGTGTGTGTGTGTGTGTGTGTGTGTGTGTGTGTGTGTGTGTGTGTGTGTGTGTGTGTGTGTGTGTGTGTGTGTGTGTGTGAGAAAACTGTGGTTCAATTCAAAGTTAGCTGGTAAACATAAACAACAGGATGTTGTCAGGATGTTTTCTTGCAATAATAGTGACTGATCACAGATTGTGAACTAGTAAAACCAGTACCTCCACAAAACACATGTAATAGCCTAGTTAAAATCTTGCAAATAGTTTTGTTGTTATGGAGGGTGGTAAATCCATAGCATAGTCCTACACTGTTAAGGTTTGAATTAGAAATAGGTAAGGAATTGTAAAGAATATAGTATGTGTTTAAGTAGTGATTAAGTAAGACAAAAAGGCTAGGCCTGTTGATTGATGTATATTGTATATTTAATGTCCATGTTTGCTATAATTTAGAAATATGTGCCAACTGTCATTTGAAGGTTTGAGTGCACTGACTGTCCAAGAGGCTGGCCTTCCAACCGAGTGATGGTGGTCTTCCACATGTGCCTGAAGGACGGGAAGGGCATTGTCAAAGTGAGGCGCTTCCGTCAGAATTGCAAGAATTGCATTGCAGCCCCAATGGTAGATCCCAGTATCCCTCCAGAGAACATCATCATCCTCATGAGGAATCTGGTGAAGAAGATTAGAATCAAGTGCTACTATGAAAAGCTGGATCAAGGCCACTATAATCATCACAAGATTGATGTCAAGAGTCCTCATGAGCCTGAACATTGTGAGGGATGTATTAATGGCGTGTGTACAAGAGATTGAGCTGAGCTTTCTGATTCTTCAGTTTGGTTGCTTTTGTTCTGTTTTATGCTCATACTTCGACTCTTATTGACAAAAGCAACAGTTTTCCCAGCTTATGATCCGCTTCACTGTATTGCTTTCTCTAACATATGCATAGCTTCTTTTTTCTTCATAATTTTTTTATAATAATAATCAAAATGTAATGGTGATGTATGTGCTGCCAGCTGATAAAACATATCTCCATGGGAAAATTTATTTGTAATCTGAGCATAAAAAGAAACATACTGTGACGGCGTTAAAAACATTTAAGATGCAAGTCACAAACACATCAAGGCATTGCCTACACAACACTTGTGTGTTTACCAGCCCACAATGCTTCAGTGGATGCATGTGCATTCTAGACTGCAAAAGAGAGAATAAAATCTGTATGACATGTCCACTAGGAGTTCTGGCAGAATTCCTGGGTGACGGAACACACGTCATTAACTTTGTGTTAGTGACTCACGTTCGAGTCCTACCAGACATATAGTTCATAAAACTGTAACATGCAAGAGCATCTATATAATTTCATGAGTGGTTCATAGGCTCAATCACCTCAATTGACAATAGTTAAAAGCTTAAAACTTAAAAGTCACTTTTTTAAATGAAAATCTTCAAGACCGCCACTTTAAAAACTAAATTGATCTGTAAAGAACATTATTCTCATTTTCCACCGAATACTTGAATACTCACTATTCAGCTTTTACTAGTTGTATTTCATTAATCAATTGCAAAGAGGAAAATGAGACTGAGGATCCAAACACATGATACTTTCAAGTTTGCTGTAACATTTAACAGGGAGACTGAGAATTTTAGAAACCTGAAACTTAAGGAAACCGCCTGTAAGTTCCTTAAGGTATTTTCCTCTCAACCCATATTAGCACAGAGTAGTGATGTTGCCATCACTAATCTCACTGACGTTGCCACATTAGTTCCTTTGTGCTGGAAGGCACAAACACACATATAAATACAAGACCTGCACAGCCGACACAGCCAGCAAAAACAGCAAGGTGGAAGACACAAAGAAAATAACCCACACACATTATCTCTAACTGCTCCCTTTATTTCACACAAACATCGCTGCTGCCATGAACACTTAATAACCTCACAGTTTCAACAAATTCAGCAGTGTTCTTATTAAAAGTTACAATTTCAATGTGGCAGGCTTAAATACAAGGGCGTAGGTTTGCATATGGACAGTTGGGATGTATCCTATACCAATATTTTGAGAGGACATAATTGTTCCTACCAATATTTGAGAGAACTCACTGTTTGGAGTGACGTCATATGTGTCTTCTCAGAGGTTACTTCTCCACGAATGATTTAGGCGTGGAAGCATTTGATTGGCTGAAAGGTCAGGGACTATCTGGAGGCTCATGTCATGTACAAATATCTCACTTACTGCAGACACAGAGGAGGCGAGAGCACATTAATGTGCTGACAACGTTAAGTTATCATTGTCAGTCCCGACCTCGAGCATGGGCAAAGATATTGTAATTCAGATGACGCCCTTTGCTCTATTGCCAACATTTTGTCCATGCCAACTTGTTTTCTACTTTGTAGATAATGCCACCAAAAAGAGACATTAGGAGCTTTTTCACCATCCAGGGCATAATGATAAGTGATAACAATAATAATATTATAATATAATAATAATAGGTGAACACACAGCCACTGATTTAAAATGAAAACCTGCTAGCTACCTAACGTCACCGGCCTTTCATTATTAGATAATTAATATAAAGTTGATACTGATGCATCACTGGATAAGCAGCATTTTACCGTGGTTTTAAATGTCAAATCAAGAGGGGAAGGGGGGAACTGCAACACTGGCAGGCCAAATGAATATAAATGTTGACGCAAAACTGTTGTTTGTTTTTTCTCTCTTTTCCGTTCACAAGTAATTTCCTAAAGTTTTCTTAAGGAAATTTCTTTTAATCCTTGATCTATTACCGTGTGTAGATTTTGATTCAAATGTAAATACAGGTAAATGCAGATCACATGTTAATAAACCATTCTGTTGAGAGCATTAAAAAGTCTTCTTTGTTTTGGAAGGATTGTTGTGTCCCTACTAATGCTGAGTCCAAACCTACGCCCTTGCTTAAATGGACTCTTTATGTACATTTGTAGTCAGCACTATACACTCTGCTGAAACATAATGAAATTTTGCTAGAGGTTTGGCGATTAAAGCATCATGAGTTGGATCAGAGTTGTGCAAGCTGTTTAATTTTGATGGACAACAATAACACAACATGAAAAACAGTTGGCTGGCAGGAGGTAGGCGCTGATACCAGAGGACACCTGTTTCTCAAAGAGCAAACACACGTTTATTTGCATTCAGCCAACAGGTGTGACAATGATGCCGCCGTGGTCAGTCTTCACCATCTGCAAGTCACGCTCTGATGTACTAAACATTAACTGCGGTTTTGCTTTGTTTTGTATGAAACCACCTACATGAAAAGTAGCTTGCAAAGTTTTCCATTTCCCACATCATTTGCCAGTGGCACGATGTATATCTTGGCCGCTAAGGATGAATTTAGTCTTGCAAGAGTTGGTCTCCCAGGTAAGTATCAGGTATGCATTTTCTGTCTGGCAGTGGTTAATTATAGATCACCTCAGCTTTTTTAAACTCTTCTGTTCATACAAATTAAAGCAAATGTTCCCGTAAAGCAATATGATGATTATTCTGTGTTCCCCAGTAATCCTGAAGAAAGACAAAGATCTAACTCTGGACATCATGGCATCCAAGAATACTACACTGAAGGTAAAGTATCTTCTCCTATTGTATATTCTGTATGTAATAAAGTGTTATTTCTGAGGTTGACTACAGCATCAGCTATAATAAATCTCCTTTTATATTTTCCCATAGAATCTATAACAGTTTTTAATCTGTCTTCATTCTAGTGGCTTCTTCCATTATACGTGCCCACTCTGGTTATGCTAATTGTTTCACTGCCAGGTAAGCTTTTTGGTCAGCACAATTTAAATAGAGTCCTGCTTTTCCCAAAAGAAATATCACCAACAAGGTAGCATTAGCCACAAAAAGAAATGGTGCAGAAGAATGTAAATAGTATGTATTATATATCTCTGCAATATTGTAAGCTACAGAGAGATTTAAATTCCTGAATATTGTGCATTAGCTTGGAAAGCTAAAACCACACCCAGATTGTAAAAATCCACTTTTGTTGGATTTGTTTTACTGAAAATCACATCAGCCGAAGTTTGTTAACACAGACTTGTTATCTTTGAATCCATCAGCTCCGTGCAGTGCCATCATGGTGAACTGCTCTCAGCCAAACCAACCTGCCCTGCTGGAGGCTCTGACACCATTCTTTAACCTGAGCGCCATACGACCCGTCATGAACATGGCAACCGTAACCAGGGTCCACACCGCCTTCACCTTGTATGGAATTCTAGGAGTGGTATGTTTAGCTCTCAGTAGATAACCACAATGAGTATTGTAAATTAGACAGTATACTGAGTTGTATATCAATTGTACCATTTATTATTTTATGGCACTCTCTCTGAGTAAAATTCTTCAGGTGTACAGTACAGCCACAAAATCACCAACAAGTAATTTGCATAGCGTGTTGAGCTTTTTAAGTGTATAATTTAAGATCATATATTCTATATTGATGAGCAATAAAGAGTCTCTAGAAAAGCTATACTCTCTATAATTCTGCTTTTGTATTCAACCAAATTCTTTAACCTGAATTAAGCCAGTTGCTGAGCTCCACTGAGACTTCTCTGAGGATCTCTGTGGTCCCTAAAGAACGCATTAGGAATTTAGGAAAGACTGACAGTGTTTTCATGTCTTAAAGCAACTCCCCTTTATCTTTCAGGATGAAAAGGCTCAACTCTTGATCACTTACCTGTGGCTAAATTATGTAAGTATTGCAATGATCCATCTTAATTTCTCAGTCAGTTGTGTGCTATAGGAAAAACTGTGTGAGAATATTACTAACTTAGAGTGTACCTGCTCTGTGCACTGACATAATTTTTTCTTTTTTTAGCGGTGGGAAAATGAGTTTGTCAGTTGGGATCCAATCCAGTGCGGCACCGACAAGATTACTCTCCCCAGAAAGAAATTTTGGTTGCCAGACATCGTTATCAATGAATTGTGAGTTGCTTCATACCAGACCATTTATATATATTTCACACCATGCACTGTGTTTGCTGTACATAAAATGTCATCTTAACACACTCTAACAATACATCTTTGTTAATAGATGAGGGTGGCGGTATACTATTTTTTCCTTGCCAACAAATCCCTTGAAAAGACCAAAACAAACAGTGTTAATTCTTCTCTCCGACCCTGTGGCACTCACCTCCAAGTCCATTCATTCCTACTGAAGATGTAAATCTTGAAAAACTGTTCACTAACTTGTTTTAAAGGGTACAGTAGTTTCCCCAAAACAGCTGGGCACTGTAGTATTTAGCAAATATTGCTCAAACTGCATTTTACTATTTTTAGCTGTGGAATAATATATTGTAGATGCTCTTGTGAGTATTTGCAGCATTATTTTTTTCTTGGTCTTTTCATGGGATTTGTGGACGATAGGAAAATCCAGAATATTTACAGCGTTATCCTTCAAGAGAGCAAAAGTTATGAATATGTTTTTGCTGTCCTACATGAGGCAGAGAATTCTCAAAGCAAAAGAAGCCATGAGGTTACAAGTAAATGATATGATTATAGACTGATTATAGACTCAGCTTTGTTTTAAATTCAAACTTTTGTCCATAAATCCAAACTCTGAAATGCAAACAGTTTACTAAACAGCAGAGAAATTTCCATTCTTTAACACTATTGCTTTTATTAAAGGTGCCATACTTTTTTACTCATGACTCCTCTTCTCGGTCTTGTCTTGAAGTATGGATGAAAACACAGCCCCAACTGTCCCATACGTGTACCTGCATAGCAATGGTACGGTGCGCGATGCTCTACCGGCCAAAGTTGTCAGCTCCTGTAACCTCGATATCTACACCTTCCCCTTCGACATACAGAATTGCACTTTGACTTTCAACTCATACCTCCACCTTGGTAAGACACTTCACTGTATGTTCATTTCCTTCCTTTAAAGATTTTTTTCAACAGCGGAGGCACTAGATAACAACATCCCCCAGTATCTGGGGAGATGGTTGGGGCTCCCCCCGGTCCTTAAGCAGCATTGTCATGTACAGCCATTCCACCAAGCTGAAACTCCACATTAGCAACCTATCAGAGCAATTCAAAGTCACTCAAGCCAGGGAGGTGATGATATATTGCAATTCCTCTGATGTCAAAGTCAGAATCCTGGTAAGGACTGAGAGGAGGTGGTGGCCACAGGAAGCTGTAGACAGAGCAGAGGCATGGCTTAACATCTTGGTGGGCAGTGTGGAGGTGGGGCAGGCAGTTTCCCAAACCATGCTACAACAAAGCCTGTGTAAAGGAGAAGCTCCAGCTGGTGTAGGATGAGATATGAGCAGAAGTGGAGCAAGAAAGCTGCAGCAAGATGGTTGGTATGTGCAAACAGGGTGTCTGGACAGAGCTCTGGAGAGCCGAAACATAGCACATTAAGTTCCTAATCCAATCAGACTGGCCAACCTGCATATCTGGGGCATGGAGACCATTCTTGCTTGCCAACTCTGCCAAAAGAAGGGCACCCTGAAGCATATCTTCAGCTGCTGCCCAAAGAGGTTGGGAAAAAAGACGTCATGCTGGCATCATGAACAGTTCCTAAGGTCATTGGCAGTACCATAAGTACAGCAGTTCAATACAGCAAAAATCTGCATGCCCCCAAACAATCTATCACCTTCATCAGAGCTGGGGAAAGGGCACAACATCTGCCCAGCTTCTCTGGAGGGCTTCTTGCCATCACTCAGGACTGGCAGCTCCAAGTCAACCTACGAAGGCAGTTCAAGTTCCCAGGAAACATCAAAACTACTTCGCTCTGGTGGATCGTGTACCACTTAGGCTCAGTCCTTACAACAGCGGCTATGGGTTCGAGTCCGACCCATGGCCCTTTGCTGCATGTCATCTCTCTCTCTCTCTCCCCAAACTTTCCTGTCCCTATCCGAATAAAGGCAAGGGGTCCTGATGATCTGGCCTCTCAGGGTTATTGAAAATTGATTGGAAAATTGCTTACAGTGATGAGCTTTGAATTTGCAGGATAACATATTCATCTCTATTCTTCTCTCTTCAGCAACAGACATAAAGATTGTCCTAAACAAACCTGTAGATCACATCACAGAGCACTCCAAGGACGTTATGACGACAATGGGGGAATGGGAGCTGCTGGATATCACCTACCACAAATACAGCATAAATACTGATGTTGGTGGTCAAATTGATGAGCTCGCATTTCATGTACGTTGATTGTACTGTCTGTCCAGTATTTATCTGGGTTCCAAGCAAGCAAACTTATGTTATGCAATTTCTCTATTCATTATTCCGTCCAAAATGTTTGACATAATTGGCATAATTCCAACATGCAATATTTAGTCTGGTCTGTTAAACCCAGACTCAAACCTGAAGTATGTCATGCAGGACTTTGAACTCAAACCTCACACTCAACATTTGTTCTGCTCAGTTTTACTTCAGAATAATAAAGATCACACTGTATTGAATGAATGTCGGCTTTATCTCAAGCAAAATTGCAATTCTTTTATTATTGTAATACAGACTCCCCGCATGCCAATCAAATTTCATGTCATTTTAAATAATCTAAAGTTATAAAGAGGACTTAAAAACACCCAGAACAGTAGCCATCTTAAACATCTTTGTGGCATTCAGTCAGAGAAATGAGCAGCAAAGCTGAATTAAGTTAAAAAGAAGTCAAGTTTACAAATGTGAACAGAAAAAGTACCTGACAACGTGCTTGTTTGGTCTTTTTTGTTTTTGTTTTTTTTCATTCTTCCTTCTGCAGATCAGAGTGAGACGTCGCGCCACCCTATATGTAGTGAACTTGCTGATCCCCAGCTGCTTCCTCATCACAGTGGACATGTTCAGCTTCCTGCTGCCTCCCCAGAGTGTGGACCGATCCTCCTTCAAGATGACCCTTATCCTGGGCTACACCGTCTTCCTGCTCATCATGAATGACTTGCTGCCTATCACTGGAAACACAATACCCCTCATAAGTCAGTGTTATTTAGATTAAGTAAATGTTCTCATTACTGTTTTATTGAAAACTGGTACAGCAGCAGTGTTTGTCACCTTTAAATTTGATTGGAAGCTGCTGTGTGCAGCGCGTAGACTGGCAGCTTTCCACTCTCCACTGAACCATTTCCCTTGACATCTGATTGAGAGAACTAAATTGATAGCAAAGCCGATGTTCTGTAGAATTTCTATACAATAATGCAGCAAAGTCTCTGACCCTGAAAATGGTGAAGAGAGTGTTCAAAGTCTTATCAGTCAACCTTTTTTCCATCATATTTAAAGAGCTACAGGTTTTCTTTCTTAAAAAAACTATGCTGCTCTTACACATAAACATTTGGGGCAGTTAGTCAGGCAAGTGTTACAGCTTGATTTCCATGCCCTTATCCATAAACAGATATTGTGGGCAGAATGTGTTTAGAGTCATGTGTAATTTACATGTGCTTTTCCAGAAGGTGTATAAAGAGGTTTACATTTTTGACCAACATAGGCAACTGCTGAATATGTAAATAATAAGTCACATTTTTACAGGGTAAAACTTTCAGTGGTTCTGATCTCACTTTACACACACTCTCTCTCTTGTGTACCTGTGTCAGACGTGTTCTTCTCTATCTGCCTGGCTCTGATGGTGGCCAGTCTACTGGAGACTATCCTCGTCACCCACCTGCTGTGTGGCTCTGGTGACTTCTCCCCCGTCCCCCGCTGGGTTCAAGTGCTTGTTCTGCAAATTCTGGGCCGTCTTGTCTGTCTGTCTCAGAAGACTCAAGGTTCAGGTATATTACTGTAGATTATTGGCAGTTTTGTGTAAGAAATGTAGAAATGTAAGATTTAAGAAAATAAGATCAATTGATTGTTTGCACTAAAATGTCAATTGAAAAAAGAATAAAAGCAACCACATTTAAGAGGTAGATATAATGGATATTGTCTGGACTGTTATTTTAAAAATGCCAAACAGACATGGAGCAAAATGTTGTGGTGGCAAAGAGTAAAGCTGATGAGGAGCCTCCAGAGGACAGGGGCCCAGTGGTGGAGGACAAGGCCCTGCAGGAGCTGAGGAGCATGTGCAAGGACCTCCAGGCTCTGCGCCTCCAGGTGGAGCAGCGGGATGGTGGAAGCCAAGGCTCGGAGGAGTGGATCCAGGTGGGTTTCATCATAGACCGCCTGCTGTTCGGCCTCTACATCCTCTTCATATCAATCAGCTTCATTACCATCATCATTATCTGGGTGACCTCATACAGTCAGTAGACAACTGCTGTCTGCTTTGAAGCACTCCATTTATGTGGCTTGTCACATAAATGTTTCACTCAACTTTTGATCAATATGTCAAAATCTTGTAATGTTTTAGATGACTGTCTTACATTTATGCAATACATACTGTATATTCTACAGTTAATGTATTACTGTTATAATAACAAATGGTCATATTATTACTATTGGACATTAAATTAGCTACACTACAATAACAAGATGTAGTTTTAGCCTTTTGTGTTTTATTGTGCAATTTCAAAATGGAGGAAACCATTGTGTGCAAAATAAAATTACTTGGAAAAATTTCTTTCAGTTTTTGATGGACATTTATTTTGAGTATAATAATAATCTTCCAATTTTTTATTTTTTATTATTTATTTATATATTATTATTTTTAATTTCAATATTGATATTGTTGGTGAGTGTTGAATCCTAACATTAGCAGTGCTAACACTGCGCTGAAAAATAACCTAAACTAAGCTAAGTTAACATAATTAGAAAATGTAGTTACCTGCTATCAGTGACCACCAAAGCTAAATCTAAATCTAGTAGTCAAATAAATGATAAATAGCTGCTTTCTTTTGATCACATAGAAATATGATCATAATTTTAACAAAACTTTTAACAATAGGAAATAAGAAAATAATGAAGTTACTACATGCCCAAAAGTATGTGGACATCCAATTACAAGCTTTGGAAACCTGGCTTCACTCCACTCGCACTTATGTTGAGCAATATGGCCTCGCTTACAATTGGTTTTCTGTGGATGTAGTAGAGGTCAGGGCCCTACGCCCCAAAGCTTGAAGTGCGTTGTCGTCTAAAATATCACTCTATGCTGGCCAAACATATGTGGTTACCAAATTCCATTAAATATATGCAAACACTTGCAATAACATAATAAGCCAACTCTACACTTAAAAAGGTTAATGTGTATTTTAATTAGAACTAATAGTTGGTATAGTTAGAGTAAGAGTAAACATACTGTATTTAATGGAAAAATCATTAACATAAAGAGCATCTCTGTCTGTCATTTTGTTGGATCATACTTCAGGATTTTGTTTTCAGAAAGACAAATAAAGAGATCACAATTTTTACTTTTGCATTTGCACCAGCAAAGATCACACAGAATTACCTTCAATATTGGAAACCTTAAACACTCACACTTTCTCGTTTTGGTTTTAAATTTACATCAGGATGTTATGTAATGGTTTCCTACTGTTGTGACTTTGTGGAATTCAGGTCTTTTTCAAGCATGTTGCATTTTACAATAACTCATATCTACATGTAGATGTAGGTCTAAAGTGCACTTACATCAACCAATAAATATATATTTTTGATATATTTTTCAATGACAGGTGCCACTTAGATGTGAAGACAACTTTACAGAACAGCTCTCACCACCGGCTCACCACTCACACTAACAACCACTTTTAACCCAATGTTAATGTTTTTAGCGCTGCCGACTGAAAGTCAAGCCCTCAAAGCTTCTATTCATCCTCATCTCTGTGCTCTTGCATGGTAAGTAAAGCTCTTATTATACAGTCACATATATTTAAAGATCCTGCTTTTAAGTGATGTTCAAAACTTAACTATGTCACAGTTATAATTCAAGTCACTTAGAGTATGTAAAGTGTCCAGTACACTTTAGAAAACTGAGGCTACTGTGTGCAATCAAGTAAAAAAAACATATTTATTAAAGCCAGGTTTATATGACAAATACACCTGTGTTGTCGACAAAGATAAGCTGCAGAAGAAAAAATCGCCAAGATTGCAAAGTCCAGCCTCAGTGTCACTGATTTTAACACCTGCTTGAAGTAAGTTTATAGGAAGTCTGAGTTGTTCCGCTGTGATATATGGCAGCTAGTTGAGGGCTGTATCACTAACTATTTCACATCACTAATTTTTCAGTCTGTAGTGCTGCTAACTTCACCTGATTGTCTGTTGTAATGTTTTAAAAACATTAAAAACAAAATGACACAGGGAAATCTTAGTTAACTAGTTCGATTTGTGAGCATTCATTCTTCAGGACAGAGGGAGAACAATGAGACCGGGCCTCCTACAGGGATCGGTCACTGGCAAAAAAAAAAAAAAAAAATCTAAAAATTTAAATTTAAATTAAAAAACAAAATTGGCCATAGGATATTTCTAAACCATGCTGACCCACCATCATTACATCTTTTGCCCCTCTGGTGCCGTTTAAGGACTCCTGCTTTGTGAAGGTTACTTAATTTATAACTTACATTACAATTAGTGGCCTTTGACATTAGCTGTAATTCGGTGCAGCCAATGTGAGGTTTCCTTTAATGATGACCGATTTCTTCTTTCCACTGTAGCTAGGTGCAGCCCCACCATGCTGAACTGCTCTCAACCTAACACGCTTTCCCTGCTGGAGGCTCTTCAACCAGTCTTCAAACTGAGCTCCATTCGACCTGTCGTGAATATGTCAACCATTACCAATGTCAGCATTAGCTTCACCATGTTTGGCATTTTGGGGGTGGTAAGGGACACTAAAATCAATTCAGTATTCAGCCATATTCAGTTGCTTTTAAGTGTAAAGTCAACTTTACAATAATGAGTTCATCAAAATGTCACTGGTTCTAAAACCTAAAAACCACAATGATCATAACAACTTTCCATACAAGAAAACATTTGTAAAGAAGGAATACATACGACCAAATGTTCGTTCTTTTTCAGGATGAAAAGGCCCAAATCTTGACAACGTTTATCTGGCAAACTTCAGTAAGTACTTTGCAAGCGATTTCACAGTTTACAAGCAATGATAGAGTTGTTCATCTCTCTCCAGGCTTGGGAATCAGAAAACAGTGTAACCTGATGGGCCCATTCTACTGTGTACTAACAACAGAGAACTAGATACTACATAATGTAATCCACCACAAAACTAATCAGATACTGTAACTTATTAATGGCAAAATAAAAAGTTTTCAGTAAGAAATAATTAAGACAACACTGCTGCTTTTCAATTTTTTCAACTTTTAAAATGGGAACATATGACATTTCAAAACATAAAAGGCTGGTCATACCTGTAGCCACCTGAGCCACATTATGTCCACCAGACATCACCTGAAAGCTCTAGTTTTATATTGTATGTAGTCAGGTATGTATTTGTTGCATTTGTATTATTCGTGTTGCAGATGTGGAGAAATGAGTTTATCAGTTGGGACACAGAACAGTGCGGTTCTTCATGGATTACAGTTCCAAGAAAACTGCTCTGGGTACCAGACATAGTCATCAATGAATTGTAAGTACCATCTGTTGTGCTTAGCCTTAACTGTGGGGTAGCTTTATACACGTCACTAACCTGATCTCAATTGATCCCCACCAAGCAGCGACCTCCAGGACCGAAAAATGAAGCCAACATGCAAGTGCCAAAAACTGTAGTTCCTTGAATGGCCACTTGAGGCTGGCTCCAAAAACGAGTCAATACATATATACATATTATTTACACAATCAGCAGCCATTTGATGGTGGGCAGGTTGCGTACAGTGGGTTCTTTAGATGTTTTTTGATGATATTAGTTGCCTGATACAGCTGGAAACAGGTTATTAAGAGTGGGGAAACACCCCCCTCCCCATTTAGCATTTATCATGAGTGCATTTACTTGGCTTATAACACTATAATATAGTTTAATTCCTGGTGCAGGCACCCATAAGTAATAAATGTGAATATGGTAAAACACAGTTATATATCCATAACATAAAATATGTCTTCAGAGGACAAATTGTAGTTGTTGACAAATACTATACATTAATTAACACCTCATCAAAGCTCTTCTGTGTATGGGAATGTGGGAATACATGTTCAAGGCTTCAGTACAACACAAGACTGTTGGCACTTTAACCTCATTCATGTCAATGAGTCATGAGCAGAATGTATATAGAGAGAAAGCATATTATCACATTTACTGGGTTTTGCGTCTATTCTCATTCTGCAGTATGGAGAAGAATTCAGCTCCATTTACCCCATACAGCTATCTGATGTCTGATGGTTTCGTTATTGATGGACAGCCTGTCAGAGTGGTCAGCTCATGCAGGCTCGACATCTACAGGTTTCCATTTGACATCCAGAACTGCAGCTTAAGCTTCAACTCCTACTTACACCGCAGTAAGAAACTGATTCTGTATTTTCTTTCTGTTGTTGTTTTAATGGATTGGTAGATTAGTATTTTTTCAATTTATGTCATTATAAAATGGATGAAATCTCACAAACGCATTGACTGTATTATATCTTCCTTTCAGTTACTGCCATGGAGATCGGCCTCATAGAACATCCAGAGAAACTATTAGAATACTCTAAAAAAGTGATGACAACTATGGGTGAGTGGGAACTAGTGGATATCAAGATGAAGAAATTTGTTTTTCCATCTGGGGATGGCGACCTGTACGAGGAGCTTCGTTTCTATGTAAGGAAATACTATATACTATACTATACTGTAACTATTTAATCCCATATTGTACTGTTTTATCTATTTTATGCCTCCAAATATTTTACTGTGTATATCTTATATATAAGGTATTAAATATTATGGTTAAATAAAATATGAGTCCATCACAGAGCATAATATAAACTTGCATTTACCATACTGAGGATGCATGACTATTATCATATAAAGTCATGTAAAATATGTCATGCTGTAGTCAGCTTTTTGTAATTCTTAACGCAGTATACCACCAGCATCAGAGACATTTCAAGAAAAGTCATGTTTACCCGCTGCTGTGTATGTGTCGACTGTGCCGCAGGTATCAGTGAGGCGCCGGGCCACCCTGTATGTGGTGAACCTGCTGATCCCCAGCTGCTTCCTCATCACAGTGGACCTCTTCAGCTTCTTGCTGCCTCCCAAGCAAGTCGACCGGTCCTTGTTCAAGATGACTCTCATCCTGGGCTACACCGTCTTCCTCCTCATCATGAACGACCTGCTGCCTGTCACTGGAAACACCATACCTCTCATAAGTCAGTTGCTAATTCCTTCATTAATATCTATTTCTTGTTGTTGGTAGTCATTGTGACCCTTGAACCCAGTACTAATAGGTTACTTCAGCTGGAGTATGTATGATTCTCACTAATGAACATTATTGGTGTAAATACCATAAATCCAGTTTGAAATCTGGCCACAACAAAATCCTAAATGTGAAGAAAAGAAATGCAAACCTCACATTTTTAATAAGCAAATTACAAAAAGAACACATATTTGAAAATTGCTATCACAAGATGGATAAAACCTGCTGAAAATGAAATAAGTACTATTATCATGACTGAGTAAATGCATTGTTGGCTCATTACATAATTTGACCATTTTGTGATTCCATTCTTTCATACCAGTGTTCAAGACCACAGAAAATGCATTATTATAGTTATAGTTTAATGTTATCACATCTAAACTTCACTGCGACATTTCATATTATCTTTGGTCATTTTTAAAAGTGCTGGCTCCTTTATATCCAGAATTGCACCCCACTCTTCTTTTTTTTTCAAAATACTCATCTTTTCAAATTCCCCTTTACACAAATATTGCATTAACCAGAATGTATCCTCTTACTTTTGATGTTCCTATTAGGCTTATGTGCTTAGCATATATGCTTGTTTTTGTTGGCGACTAGCTCATGAGCATAATGGAGCATTTAGCAGCTAAACAGCACAACTTCCCTCAGGATATACAGTAGTGGAGATCAAAATCGGAAATAAAAGGAGGATAAATATTGGACTTTGATTCATCAGGAAAGGCAGAATCACGACTCTAAATGAATATTAATGTTACTCTGTATCTGCCCGATGTGTAAAAGACAATGCCACGTTCACCATATCAGATTAAAAGGTGATAATATTGTATGTGATTGTATTGTGTTTTCAGCTTGTTTCCACTGACCTAAGTGTCTATAAGATCACTTAATAATTCATTTTAAAAGGGACTTATTATTATTATCCCAGATGTTTTTCTGTCTCTGTGCCTGGCTCTGATGGTGGCTAGTCTACTGGAGACTATCCTCATTACCAACCTGCTGTTTGGCTCCGCTAACTACTCTCCAGTTCCTCACTGGATCAGTGTGTTTGTTCTTCATATCCTGGGCCGACTGGTACGGCTTCCTCCAAAGCCCAGAGATGTACAAGACAACACAGTCATCCAAAATCCTGCAGCACAAGGTAGTATATCAGACCTGGGATGTGATTTTACACAGGCAAAATTATTCATGCAGTCATGTGCATTTCAACTAGCTGTGTCTCCTCTGCAACAGAAATGAAAGTCTCCTCTCTGGTGGAAGAGGAGAGCGGTGCTCCAGTGCAGAAAAGACCACTGAATGAGGATGAGGCCCTGGAGGAGCTGAGGTGCCTGGGCAAGGAGCTCCAGGCTCTCTGCCTTCAGTTGGAGCAGCAGCAGAGTGGAAACCAGGGCTCGGAGGAGTGGATCCAGGTGGGTTTGATCATAGACCGCCTGCTGTTCGCCCTCTACATCCTCTTCATATTAGTCAGCTTCATTACCATCATCATTATCTGGAGACAGTCACACAACATAGCCTGATTATCCTTTTTAGTCAGTAAGTTTGTTTGTCTTTCATATTTTGGAGGCATTTGTGAATTATAATTTGGTGACATGCCTATTCATATTCGTTGTTAATTATTTTTTAGGCTTAGGCTTCTACTCTTGAAGGTTGGTGATTTTGTATCGCACCTCTCCAATCAACTGTCCTCCTTTTACATTTCATGTTAATGGTTTGGTATCTTATCTTTTCTTTTACAGTTACAGTTTTACAAGCGCCCAGGCTCTGAAACCAATATCTGACAGATCTTGAAATTCCTGCTAATGTCTTCTAACATTGTCAGTTAAGCAACAACTGCTTGTTTAAACAAACAACTGGACCTACAGCTGGACTAGTTTATAATCAAATCAATTCCAGGGTCTTGTTTCCCAAAAGTATCTTAAGGCTAAGAGGATCATGAAATTTCAATCATCAAATATTTAAATTTTTGATTTGTACGAGTGATCTGCCAGTTCATATCATCATCACCTCCTCTCCCACCTGATGCCTATCATATTAATGTTGTCTGGCCTTCCTGTTTGTACATTTTCAGGTTCTATATCTTCTCTTCTTCTGATGTTGTTTGCCACACTTTTATTGATCTAGGAATGGTGGCATTCACAGTGGACGATGTACATATTCATGAAACTTATAAACACAAGTTCCTCCTTTGCATGTATTATTTATATAAATATGTAAAACAGTAATAGTGTCTCTGCCATTTGAGAAAAAATAATAATTTTGAGAGTAATAAAATAAGCTGCCATGCCTTTATGAAAGTCGTCTCTTGCGTGTGTCTTTTTATGATTATATCGATTACATTCAGATGAATGAGTGAATATGAGTGGAATGCAAAGTAATGCTGATAACACTAAAAATACACTGGAGAGAATTTCATGCATCACCACGACCTTCATACATTAAAGATCTTCAATACAATTTCAGTGGCTTTGTCTCGTGTGTGTGTGGTGTTTGATGTACATGTTGATTCAAGCTCATTGCATGTTGATGTGTGTGCTGACAATATTTGCTTAGGACAGGAAAACTGACAAAATAACGGACTTTGACATGTAAATAAAACAACAAACGGGGTTGTTTGTTAGACTCTCCAAATAGTTCAGAAGGAGGGAAAGGCCAATCAAGGATAAGACGGATTATATTCTCGCCCCACTTTTTGCTCTGAAATCAGGGCTGCAAAACTGTTGATTGCAAATAAGCTCAGTTATTAATGTTTGTATGATGAGTTTTTATACTTGGAGGTTTGATATTTATAGAACTGTTTCAGTGCCTACAAAAAAATTAGTTTTATTTTCATTTTCATATTCATTTTCATTTTCAAGGTGTTATAAACTATCTCAGTATGTTTTACTATTATTGTGTTTCTATTTAGTTATTTCACCTTCTTCCAACACCCCCAGTGTGGATTGTGAACCTTTAGTTCTTGAAGGTCCTAACTAGTCTCTTGCATTGTCGGTTAAGCAACAAATATTTGCATTTTTCTACAAACAACTGGACCTACAACAATCTCTCCTGCCCAGAGGTTTGTAGTACCCAGCACAAAGCTGTTTATGTGTCTTTACAGTTCTTCAGTTTCCATTTTTTTCCCAAATCTAAAAGCAAATTAAGTGCAGGACTGCACATCTCTGTAATGTGAAACACTGACACAACAGAAGACATAAACTGCCTCCATTGCATTTAATATTCATATTAATATGTAATAAAGTTCAACTGTGTCTGCCATTGTAGGAAAAAATCAATTTCATGGTATAAGAAGCTGCTGTGAACTTTATGAAAATTGTTTCTTGTGTGTTTCTTTACAGATTTATATCTGATTACATTCAGATAAATGAGTGAATATGAGTGCAGAGGAGAGTAACAAAAAAAACTGCCAAAATAAAAAGACTTATACAAAACTACAATATAATTTAATGATGTAAAGAAAACCGGAGACATCCTTGTTTGATTAGTTTTACTTAATTTGTGCAGCATTTATGTTTAGACGAACTAGACATGCAAGCAATAACTCAGAGCAAAATGAGTGAGGTCAGGCTAAATTTAGCCAATCAGAAACAAGATGCAACATTTGTTCAGACTGTTGACACTTTCCTTTAACTTATGGAAATGTTTGCACTCACACAGAAAAGATGACAGAGGTAAAGACTGCTGGGCTTATCTTCATCTGTTTTTCACTGCTGCACGGTAAGGACTAAAGAATTTTGACAATTTACTAAGAAAGGAAAATAAAAAAGGAAGATGATCTGTTGAAAGCTGGAAGACAGAAACCCATCCACATGCTAAAGCTTTATGAAGCTTAAACTTTCAAAATGATTTGGAAGAAAATACAAGCTATACAAAATAACTGGAATACAGTGAAATGTTTGTGTTTTATAGTGATGATGATAGTTCATGATGATAGCTTTGAATTTACAGCATGTATGACTGGGTATTTATAGTTTTACAAGGGTTTTGTGCCACATTAATACATACTGTCATGAGATGTTTATGAAATATGTGAAAAAAAACTGAAGTAAAAAATAGAAATCTTAAGAAGTAAAATCTTAAACTGGGGAAAAGAATACAGCAAATAAATTCCTGTTCACAAACCAAATTATTTAGCAATAGAGAGAAGTACAACATATGTTAAGACCAAGAGTGCACAGCTAGTTTAGCATAGCAAAGCTCTGTGATGGAGTATGAAGGTAAAGTAGTGCTGTGAGCCAAATGTTAATGCCAGCATGATAATATCCTGTGATTATGTGATTAGTTTGCAGGTATTAGGTCATGCACCAATTAAAATTATGACCTGATATGATGGCGCTAGATGAAAAGTTTAAAGATCACTGAATGTCTTCCTGAGGGGAGGAAGAATGTGTGCACTAAATTTCATGGTAATCCATCATCGTTAAGGCTCAAAATGCTTGAGCTGTAAATAGCTACAACCAAAAGAAAAATCATTTAAAACTGGCTCACTAAGCTGACACAATAACATGCTTCTGTGTCGCACCAGAAAGTGAGTAAAGCAAACTGGTGGTGGTGGTTTTACTGGCATTACTTCATGAAGGGTTACCCCACTATACAGCATACAAAGAAAGACCTGCCACTGAGCAAATCAAAATAATAATTGTAATTATATGTTTATTTGAACTATCTTATAATTTTTTCTCTTTTTGAACGCAGGTTATGTTGCAGCATTGAACTGCACCAGCCCAACTCCTGAATCCCTGTTTGATGCCCTTGAGAGGGAATTATTTCCTAAAAAACTACTTCGACCTGTAAAAAGGTTTTCAGATACACTTAACATAACTATCGATATTACTTTGGTGGGAATTTTAGGAGTGGTGAGTCCATGACGTACACAAACATCTATTCATGTCCGCATATACACATGCAAAGCTAAGTATACTGTAACTGATTTCATTAATTAATAATCATAAGTATGTCTCCCCCATAGAATGAAAAAGCCCAGTCCTTAACAACATTCATATGGCAAATCTTGGTAAGTTTTCAGAGCACTGACAAAACTCGAATTTCTTCAGAATTATTTCCATACTTTTGTATCCATTCCATTGTAGAGTTGTAGAGTTTCTTTCTGAAAAATGGAAACATAGATGAAGAGGCTAAATCAAAATGAAAAACTTTGTCCCACATGCCAGAATTTTAATCTGCACACGCATCTGCATTTGGAGAACATGCCAATAGGAACGGTCCCTCTCAAAAAAGACCTGTGAATGATCAAAGTCTCCCGTCACAGGCTACATTTTCTAAAGCCTGAAAACAAAATCGAGAGGAGATGCAGACGTTTAGTTTGCTCTCAGACAGCTTCACTACAATCACAATATGCTGAAAGCCGATTATGGAATTTTTGCCCATTGATGCCAAAAAATTACTGCCCACGCCTGATTTTTATACCATGATCTTGACAGTAGCATCCAACAATGCATTTGTCCATCTTTTAATACTTTCTAACTTCCCTACTGTCTAATGGATCTCAAAGGCTCATTGGTTAGTACTGACTGACTGGGTCACAAATATGGTACCATTTTCTTTTGAATGTCTCAGTATCCATCAAAAGAAACCAAAATAGTCCAGGGAAGGAAGAATGTGTCTCTAAAAGGGCAAGTGAACCAAAAAGTCAGATTACAGTCTTGCACTGTCAGCAGACACTGCGGTGCCTGTGCAGTGGCACATTACATGTGCACACAGATCTACAGCCAGTCAACTTTCCTTACGTATCTCAGTCAGCAGTCAAACTCCATCAGCCATCACGTCAATATCTGAGACACTAAGAAATATCTAATTAACCTTCTCGAGTTTTATACCTAAATTACAGGGGCCTGGGAACTTACACATGAAATGTAAAACCTCCCACTCGCTGTGCCTGACCACACACAGTAAGGTTGAAAGAAAAATCCCACTCAGATAGCTTTTCAACTTACCGGGGGTAGATGAAATAAATGCATTTACCAAAGCTGTAGAATAAATGAAGCTACTTGCTTAACCAGATTCAGTCAATTAAAAAATCTAAAAGGGTCGAAGGGTTTGTAACAATATAACAACTCTCACTAATAAATGCTGCTGATTTATTTTATGCAGATAGGAAACCGCATGCCATCCCCAGGGACATAAGGTGCCTGCACCGAAGTGATGAATTGATAATGGCGGAAACTTAATGTTATTTAAAGTGTCAGATGAGGAAAGAGAAGCATAGAGGAGGAGGCATGTTTGATTAGACGGCAGGCCGAGCCTCTTAGGGTCGATCCAAGTGAGGTCAAAATAAATCTAACCATGGCCCTCACACTTGTCCTGAACTCAACTATGTTGTGGAACCAGACTTGTTCATAGGATTTGTTGACAACAACAAAATATAGAATATTTCCAGATTTGTCCTTTAAATTAAAGTAAGCAGAGTCTCAGTTCAAATGTTTGCCATTTTCTTAGCTGTGCATCACACTATTGTTCTGTTCAATGTAGGAGTGGGATATAGAAGGACTGAGCTGGGATGAGAAGGAATGTGGAACTAAAAGAGTCTCTGTCCCCCGGGAAAAGCTTTGGGTCCCAGACGTCCACATCTCAGAGTTGTAAGTTAAAAGGGTCTTCAGTAGTCTTTGAACTTGTTTAACCTTCGACAAAAACAAAAGGAATCAGACCACAGTGTTTTATCTTTTATGCTTCTTTTGATCAAATTGCTACCATTTTAGAAATGTTGTCAACAGCAAACAAAACAGCTGTACCCAAATTTAAATATTTGGTGGTTTAGTTACAAAAACTAAGGAGAAGAGTAATCTGAGTGGAATATCCCAGTATCTCTTTAAAGCATATACATGCAATTGAAATGTTTTATATCATATTCTTTTCCAGCATGGACGAGGATAAATCTCCGAAAACTCCCTATGTCTACTTATACAACACAGGTCGTGTTTTTGATGATAAACCAGTCAGAGTGGTCAGTTCCTGCCAATTAGAAATCTACACTTTCCCTTTTGATATTCAAAACTGCTCTCTGAGCTTTGGACCACATCTACACCTTGGTAAGTCTGCCCAGAAAACAACACATCATATCAAAAACTGATCTCAGAGCCACAAGTCCACCTTACAGTTTTGTTTAAATTATGACAGGTTTGTACTCAGAGTACAACAAAATATTGTCACTTCGGTTAGTATGTATTAAAAGTGTAAATTAAAAATTAATTCATTGTAAATTGATTAATATATATATATATATATATACTGTATCTAAATGTATGTATATGTTGGTGTGTGTGCATATGTATCTCTTTCATTTAGTTTACCTGGGTGCATATTGGAAGGAAGGAATGAGGAATATGAAGATACTTAGTGTACTTTTATGTTTGTAGGTTCATTCATTGGTGATTGCTAATTATTGTACACTGATCATTGTGGATTAAAAAGATGTGGAAAAAACTGGGCATCAAATATGAACAACTTTTTTTTTCTTTTTTTTTTCCAGCTTCAGACATAAAGATGATTCAAGGTGGCACAGCTGCAGCAGTTCTGGCTGAGTCCAGAAAAGTGATGAAGACCAAAGGGGAGTGGGAGCTTGCGGATATCAAAGTAACTTCAAATACCCTGGAGTTAACTGATGGAAGCTATTCTGACATAACATTCTATGTGAGCACCTTTAACTTTTTAATTTTATTCTGTATTCTGTATTCATATGATGAATATCAGTATTTATATGTTAAACATCCCCTTTAAAACAGTTGAAATATCGTAAAGAAACTGTGTGTAAAACTCATTTGTCAGTTTTGTTTATGTGATTAATCTTTGAAATTATTCTTCCAAAGATTTTGTTTGTAGAAAAATGAAACAATCTTGTGTAGTTTTTTTCAACCCAGTCATCTCAGTATCCCAGGATGCAGCTCTGTATTTCAATGTTGTCTTTTTAGTACTGCAATACTAAAGACTAAAACTGCAAAATTCTTGATATAGATCACAACATTCCAGCGCTCACAACCACAGTGCTAAATAACTCATATTATTTATTATTTATCTATAAATGATTCATGGAGTAACAAGCGACACAATAAGACAAGTCACAATCAAGTCATTAAAAGTTAAATTAAAAAGTTGATTTGGTAGTGGGTTTTGGATATAAAATTACGTTTTAAAAAGTGATTGTAGTAGATGTTGTTTTTGTGGATAATCTGTCAGTATAGTGGAAGCATGTAAACAGCAATACTAAAGGCACTGAGAATGGACCCTTGGGGAGCATCAAAGGTGCCACGAACAAAGGTTTCATTGATTAATGGTAACATCTGGCTGGCTTTAACCTTCAAGCTTTGTAATTGCATCCCATCCCAAGATCATTTTGAGACGCAGACCAATCCTCTATGTGGTGAACCTGCTGATCCCTAGCTGCTTCCTCATGACATTGGACATCTTCAGCTTCCTGCTGCCTCCTGCGAGTGTGGACCGATCTGCCTTCAAGATGACCCTCATCCTGGGCTACACTGTCTTCCTGCTCATCATGAACGACCTGTTGCCTGTCACTGGGGACACAACACCTCTCATGAGTGAGTGACACCAATGATATAAGTAGATTTAAAAATTAATAAAGTCTGATTGAAAAGTATCTCTTCATTTCTTAACCGTTCTGTTTTTTTTGTCTACTGCAGATGTCCTATTCTCAGTCAGTCTCGCTCTGATGGTGGCCAGCCTGTTGGAGACAGTGTTTATTACTAATATCCAGTTCAGCTCCAGCCAGTACAGTGCGGTGCCTCACTGGCTCAGCGTCCTTGTGTTACGATATCTAGCCCTTGCTGTTTGTCTCCCTCCACAAAAAAAGAGCAACCGCGTCACAGTCTCCCTTCGCCCACTTGCTACAGGTATATTGTAACTAATTACATTTTGCACTACTAATGGTGCTACATCTTATTGAAATAATTTTGTATGCAACTCATTTGAAAAATGGTCTAGAACAGAAAAGGAAATTGACTGAGACAGTTCATTCTTCTTCCTTAATCTTGTAAATAGCAGTTTGACAAAATAATCTTAACTCCATTTAGTAGCTTTTTCCAAAGCTTGTAATTGCATCTCATACTTTTCAACAGTTCACTCAGTTTTCAGTAAGATGCAATTGAAAGCTCTGGAATAAAAGGTGGCAAGAGGATTTTGGCACATGATTTTCACATAGTTTTCTAATACATTTCCTGCAATTAACTATGTCATTTTAGACAAGCAGTACGTCTATTCAGAAAGCAATCAGCTGTTTCAGTCATCTGTCTCATGCATATATAATGGAAAAAATACACTTCTTTAATCAATCCAACTGCATACACAGGCAACATAACAGCTTGCATTTTTGAAGCATATTTTTATGCTCCAAGTCTTTTTTCATACTCAAGATTTGTTCTGGCACAGCATTGAGTTGTAGGCTACCATGTTTTGGCAAAGCCTAGAGAACAGTGAACAATCACTGTCGTTACTCTTGTAAAACAGAAGAAAATAGACTTGAAGCATGAAAATGCAATTTGGATTGCATTAATGTCCATGTAGTGTGACATTAGTGTTAATGTCCGTGGTACAACGCCTATGTAGACACTTAGATTGAGTAGGCTATAAGGAAATTACAGCCAAAGTTCTGAAACAGTCGAGTTTGATTGATCACTGAACCTCGATCCTGAACAGCCATGAGTCATAACTTAGCAACAGTCAGTTGTGTTGTGCTTAAAGGTCCTTGTTTAAGATCTGCTCCATTTAAACCCATGTAAATGTGTATTTTTAAACATCTGTTGCTTTCTGACAGACAATGCAATGAATAACAGCATCATCTCCTCAAGGAATCTTGAGAGCATCTCTGGTGATACACCTCTAGACAAACCCCCTCCAGATATGGCCCTGGATGAACTGAGGAAACTGAGCAGAGATCTCATGTCCATCCGCCTACAGATGGACCACCACTTTCAGGGGACACAAACCTCACAGGAATGGCAAATGATTGGGGTAGTCATCGACCGTCTGCTGTTTGGCTTGTACATTATCTTCATCTCAGTCAGCTTTATCACCATCGTATCTATCTGGATCTGGAATCATTCGTTGGAAGATTGACTTGGCAGGAGAGTTATGTCAAGTTTGACTGGACATGACTCTGTTTTGTTTGTTTTTTGTTTTTTTCTGCATAAAAACATGTTTTTAAATGTTATAATTTATTACTTTCAGAGATTTCAGACAATACTTTGTATCGCTTCTCATGATGAATTATCCCCATTCAGGCCAGCCTCATATTAGCTCCAGGTAAACTTCAAAGAACTGGAATTTTTGTAGGTTATGAGGACTGTGGATTTTGTCACCCATCATTTAAATGGAAATACATTAGAAAGTGATCTTTTAGCAGCCAGTATGAACAGGAAAAATGATTACAGCAAGAAACCTGACTGTTGCCAACCTATCCTTTAATCAACATCTATTATTGCCAGCACTCTGAGGTCAAAAGTTAAATCCCAATTAAAGTTTCAGGATGATTCCTAAAAGCGATCCTGAGATGCTTGATACAGACCCTGTGTTTTAAATGCTCTGTACACTTCTCACCCAAGGAATGTTTCAGCTATGGATCTTAACACTGAGCAGTAAATATATGTCTACCAAAAGTCACGTGGTTCAACTGCACAGCAAACAGCTCTGGAGAGAATGTAACACATCTTAACTCCCATAGGTGCAGGTGCTGAAAAATAAAATTGGTCAGTGATTGCTGAAGGTGTGGAACAACGGGTCCTGTATTTCCTCTGTGCCTTTGTGGTATAAGTCAGGGGTTTTCAAAGCCTAAGACTGTGGATCCCCCTTAGCCTTACCTCATCCCCACTCTATGTTGCCATGGATTCGGTGATTGAGTTTTTTTCTATCTTAAAACAGGACCAAAGGGACTCATCTCAAATTTTGGGGACAGAAACTTGTTTAAGTAAGTAAATTGTGTCCATGTTTGTTGATCGTCAAATAGCATTTGCCCTGGGCCATACATTATTAACATACTGACATTAACAACATGTAGTTAACTATTTACTCTGGGTTTAATGATAAAATATTTTTGTATGCCACATTTTCTCTTCCATGTCCTAATCTGATATTTTATGACATTTAAAGGTGCTATTTGTAACTTTTGCTATTGCTACATAGCGAGCATTAGCATTAACAGCTATATAGTTACTAGTCTTGATAAGAGCTTCAGCCACCATTGTGTTTACAAGGCAACACGTTATAATATGGCCTCTGAGCAGCACAAATTCTTCATAACAGACTGGATGCTAAAGTGACTCAGTATCGGAAAGTGACAAAAGAGTCAAGACCAGGCCAGGGCTAGTGGATTAACATACTAACTCTTGGCGAGTAAAGGAACAAAGTTTGATGATGAACTGGCAAAACTTCTTCTAACTTCTTCTAAGTAAACAGCTGTTACTAGCATTGGCTATGTAGCAATACCCAAAGTAGCCTGCAAAAATATTCTGCTAAGTAGGTTTTGACTACAGATATTAAATGATTGATCTATGTAGACTATCCCATACATACATTTAATATCTGCCATTGTGTTTTACATGTTTTAGTATATCTTCATGATTACAAAGGTCAAAATTAAATTTCTTAAAACCATTCTCTGCTCTTGGGAGCTGGGAAAGGGGAAGTTTCATGTTGTTGGCCAGTGTCCCCCCAGGCTGGGTCATAAAGGAATTAGTTGATCCGAGTAAGTTCCTGCTCAGACTGGTTTGGGATATTTGGAACTCCTTTCTTCAGTGTCAGTATTTTTTTCACTCTGTTAAAACATGTTTGAAAATTCAGCATGCAAAGTTGAGAGAGTAGAACAAGACTAGATCAAAACCTAGTATGTGCCTGGACCACATATGGTCAACCTGATTTTATAACCATGACGTGGTCTCAAACAGCTCACAGCCTCCATCTGGGATCCACAATAGTTTAGCCTTTATTTACTTCAACTCCAGAACATAACAGATTTTTATTAGAGGCAGGTTTTTATGTCTAAATCCCTCAGTTTGATGTGTAAAATTGGTCATAGTAGTTAGTACAAAGCCTGGTTACCGATGACTTCTCTATCTCTCTCTCTCTCTCCTTCTCTCTCTGCTTGGTGTGTCTTTGGTGTGTTTAATTATTTCTCTACCTCCTTTAGTAATAATGATATGTGTAATGAAAGTGTTTTAATTGCTGTGATGGAGGTGAGGCTCAGTGTATTGGGAGCATTCCTCAACTTCCCTGCAGTTCCTGAGCATCCGGGAAACCAGAGCAGCTCGGTAGACTGCCCGTAATGAGGTGTAGCCCTAAGCCCCTGTTCAGCATCTATATGCTGTCCAATCATGTACCAGGTTTATATGAAGTATAGATAAGTATAAATAAATAAACGCTGAAATAAATAATTAAATACATAAATAAATGCAAAATACAAACTATTAATGCTATTTATTCATTTATGTATTTCTACATTTATTTATCTAGGGCACTGACGCCCTGAAGCCAGTTGGGTGCTTGCACCTTTTATGTCTGGAAAGTCCTGTTAACATTTCTCTTGCATTGTCTACACAACAAATATTTACATGTTTCAACAAACCATTGGCCCTACAATAATCTCTTTTACCTGGAAGTTTGCTGTAACCAGCACATCACTGTTTGTGTGTCTTTTAAGTTCTTCTGTTTGCTTTTTTCCTAAATGTATAAGAAAATTGAATGCAGGACTGTACTTCTCTAATATATGGGACTAGGACTCAGAAGAAGACATTAACTGTCTCAGTTCCTCCTTTGCATTTAATATTCATATTAACATTTAATACAGTTGAATTGTGTCTGCCATTGTGGGAAAATATTAATTTCAAGAGTAGTAAAACAAGCTGCTGTGCCTTTGTGAAATTCATCCCATTCACAGAAAAACTATAAAAGTGACTCTAAAGATGCAAAAAGAGTGATTTTATTTCATGTGTAAAAAGTAACACAGGGAAAAACTAAACATTTCGGTTAAAGGACTATCGTCGACACAGCTTACAGACCATATAATTCTAAGGAATTCAGACAATCAGCAAAGACCAATCAGGACAAGAGAAGCGAGGAACACAAGGTGTTCCACGTTGTGAACAAGCTAGGCAGGCGATTGCTTGGGGCTGTTAGGGGGGCCCCTAGGGCTGACTAACTTTACTCAACAGCAATGTCTCAAAATGCAGCTCCCATCCCTTAAACAACCAAGGGACGATTTGCAACAACATCTCAGAAGCAGTGTTGCCAACTATTTTCACTAAAGCCTGCATTTATGTAATTGTAATGAAATTAAACTAAATTGACGGTAATTGGCTTTTTTTTTTCCAAGTGTGCAGATCAGAGTAACACTTCAAACTGAAATTTTTGCTAATTAGACTGTATGTATGGATAAACACTGCTAAGACTTTCATGCATCACTACTATTTTTCAGCCTTCATACGTGTAAGTTTTCACAAACAATTTCTATGACTTTGTTTTGACATGTGTATTGTGTCTGATGCAAATGTGAGTGCTGATTCAGACTCATTGCATGTTGAGGTGTGTGTGTTTATAATATTTGTTCAGTACTGGAAAACCACAGACATTCTTGTTTGATTACTTGTACTTGATGCTGATGTTTTGACAAACAAGACACGCAAACAAATATTTCAGGTGCAAAATATATGAGTTGAGACTGAATTTAACCAATCAGAAACAAGATACACCATTTGTTCAGACTTGACATTTTCCTTTGTTAGGAAAATGTTTGGGCTTAAACAGAAGATGACAGAGGTAAAGACTGCTGGGCTTATGTTCATCTGTTTTTCACTGCTTGATGGTAAGGACAAAATAATTTTCATTATTCAAATTATTTAGTTAGGAAATTGGTCAATTTTGATGAGGAAAAAATAAAAGGAAGATGATCTGTCGGAAGCTGGAAGACAGCCAGCTGGTTGAAACCTATTCATATGCTAATGCTTTATGAAACTTTAAAGATTATTTGGAAGAAACTACAAGCTAAACAAAAAAACTTGGAAATGTATGTGTTTTATAATGATGATTTTATAATAATAATGATAGTAGTTTTGTGGCACATTAATGAATACTGTCATGACATGTTTATGAACTTTCAAAATTAAAATTTTAATAATTTAAGTAAAATCTTAGACCAAAAACCAGAAAGACTTGTGGGTAACACATAGGATGCTTTTGTTTGTTTGTTTGCTTGTTTGTTTATTTGTTTTTGTTTTGCTTGTTTCTTTACAAAAAATAAACAACTTTCAACAAACCAAAATATGTAACCAGTATGTTATGTTATAAAGCTGAGAGAAGTACAACATAGGTTAGAACTAGGGGTGCCCATGTTGTTTAAATATCAACCGCACTTGCGCCTATCTGAGCGCTGTGTGTGTGTATTGGTCTGGTATGGCGCATTGGTACCTTGAGGCAGCGGAAAGCAAGTGCCCCTAATGACCAGCAAAAACCTGGTGTGAGGTCAATGGCATAGTATTACACTATTTAGGGGTGCATTATTAAGATAGGTCTATGTACTGTTGCTCAGGAGTGAATGTTGCCAACCTCTATTTTACAGAGCTCCAAATCCTTCAACTCTTACTAAGTATTAATGGTAATTTTGGTTGTACTTATTAAATTAATTATTAAACAGCGTTCCAAATTGATAGTATATTACGAGACTTTTATCAGTGAACTGGCTATCTTGTCCCTTATTAGGGTTTTGCCCCCAAGGACAAAAAAGTTGTCGGCACTCACAGATAAGTGTAAGTCACTTTTAAAGTGCACAGCAGCAAACAGAAACAAATGCATTTCAGCTCTTGACCTTCTTCAGTCTTTCTGGGACACATGAGTATGAACCTTATTATATAGCAATTATTGAAACTTCATCAACAAGAGATAAATATTATCAAGAAAAATAGTAGTAGTAAAAAAGTAGTAATAACAATTAGTCATAAGAGAAAATATGTCAATTTATATGCCAAGCATATAAGCAAATAAATTTAAAAAATCCTACATTTATTTGAGCTATCTCATGAATTCATATTTTTTCTCTTTTTGAACTCAGGTTTTGTTGCAGCATTGAACTGTACCAGCCCAACTCCTGAATCTCTGTTTAATGCCCTTGAGAAGGAATTATTTCCTAAAAGACTACTGCGACCTGTAAAAAGGTTTTCAGATACACTTAACGTAACCATCAATATTGCTGTGGTGGGAATTTTAGGAGTGGTGAGTCCATGAACCATACAAACATCTATTCATGCCTGCACATAGCTTTTTCAACTAAGTATAATGTAACTGAATTTTATTTATCATTAAGAAATGTGAATATGTCTCATCTATAGAATGAAAAGACCCAGTCAATGACAACATTCATATGGCAAATCTTGGTAAGTTTTCAGAGCGCTCACAAACATGAATTAATCAAGACATTTTTCTAACAGTTCATTCAATTCATTCTGACAATGGAAAAGTGTTGAAACACAGCCTAAACATTACAATGTCTAATTATGATTATGTATTCTAAGTTTTTCAACATCAGGTGACAAATTTTTTATCAAACTGCCAGATGTTATTTTGGAATAAAACTGCTGCTGTCTGTCGATATTTGGTATTTTGCCATCTAACCATGGATCAGTTTGTCTCTCAGTTCTTTTCAACTTCTTTATTGACCATGGCTATCAGTCACGGGCCCACTGGTCACCATAGAGTGGGAAAGGCAAAGCATCTAAAGAATGTGTGGGATGGGATAGAATGAACATGGTTCTTCACCACACGGGGTGTGGAAACAACATACTACAAATGCTAGCATACTCAGAAACAGGGCCCTGTAGTCAAGACATCAGACAATAAAAGAAATATAGAATGTTTCCAGACTTGTCCAGAGACTCAGTTCAAATGTTTGCCATTTTCTTAGCTGTACATCACACTATTGTTCTGTTCAATGTAGGAGTGGGATATAGAAGGACTGAGCTGGGATGAGAAGGAATGTGGAACTAAAAGAATCTCTGTTCCCCGGGAAAAGCTTTGGGTCCCAGATGTCCACATCTCAGAATTGTGAGTTGAAAGGATGCTCAGTAGTCTGTGAACTTGTTTAACTTTCAACAAAAACAAAAGGAATCAAACCACATAGTGTTTTATCTTTTATGCTTCTTTCAATCCAATTTCTACCATTTTGCAAACACAGCAATGTACCCAATTTTAAATATGTGGTGGTTTAATTAAGCATTAGATACAGAAACTAAAAAAGAGCCATCTGAGTCGAACATCATCAGTATCCTCTAAAACATATATGTGCAGTTAAAATTTATTTTACTTTTATTTTTTTCTAGCATGGACGAGGACAAATCTCCGGAAACTCCCTATGTCTACTTATACAACACAGGTCGTGTTTTTGATGACAAGCCAATAAGAGTGATCAGTTCCTGCAGATTAGAAATCTACACTTTCCCCTTTGATTTTCAAAACTGCTCTCTGACCTTTGGATCATACCTACACTTTGGTAAGTCTGCCCAGAAAACAACACTAACTCAGTTTCATTACAATGAAGACAGTTTGCACTAAGAGTACAATGAAAATTGTCACTTGAATTTAATTACAATTTTTTCAGAAAGTATGCATTTATGCATTCTGTAAATGTAAATTGAATATTTAACACAAATTCAAAATCAGTAGAATAAAATAAATTCATTTAAATATTGTCAGCCTTGAACTTCCATTACCTTTAGCATTGACAGCTGAGCTCTACTCACTTGCAGAAAACCACAAGCAACATTCTCACAGACTGGGAATCAAATATGAACAATTTTTTAAAATTATTTTCTCCCAGCTGCAGACATAAGGATGATTCAAGGTTACGCAGCTGCAGCAATTCTTACGGGGTCCAGAAAAGTGATCCATACCAAAGGAGAGTGGGAGCTTGCAGATATCAAAATAACTCCATCTACCCTGGAGATAACTGAAGGAAACTACTCCGACATCACATTCTATGTGAGCACCTTCAACTAATTTATTTTGTTTTGCATTCTGTGTTCATATGATGACTATGACTATTTATCAGTTTAATCCCCTTATAATTCAGTTGTAATATCTTAACAAAACTGTGTGTAGAACTTCTATATCTATGTTTTATTTGTGCAAGAGGTCAATATTCCTGGCAAAGGTTTCATTGATTAATGGTGATATCATTAAGTCTGGCTTAAACCTTCAAGCTTTGTACTTATGTCCCATCCCAAGATAATATTGAGACGCAGGCCACTCACCTATGTGGTGAACCTACTGATCCCAAGCTGCTTCCTTATCACACTGGACCTCTTCAGCTTCCTGCTGCCTCCTGCAAGTGTGGACCGATCCGCATTCAAGATGACCTTAATCCTGGGCTACACTGTCTTCCTGCTCATCATGAACGACCTGTTGCCTATCACTGGGGAGACAATACCTCTCATGAGTGAGTGACGCCTATGATGTAAGTCAGTGCCGTGCAGTGACTTTAACAGATAGGCAAGCGACCAATTACAGCCCACAGTCCCCAACCAACCCAGTCCTGTAGTTGGGAAACAATGAGGAGAAATACAGGAACTTGGTTTGGGTTTTGAGGAGTTGTAGAATGTATTTACTGACCAATAGCTTAAAGTTCATATAGGCCTACATTTCACTGCTACCTTCACAGCTATACTGCTAAGTTCTGCTCTGTTCTGGTTGCCAGCCTCATTGCTCTCTCTCTCGCTCTCTCTTTAGCCCACTATGCACACAACCTACGTACCGAGATATTCCTGAAAGTAGCTGTGCTACTTGTGTAAGAATATGCCGTTTTAAACTACTCAAATGTACTGCAGATCTTGCATAGAGATGATAAATCACAGTGTAATTTGCTCGTTTACTTGCTACTGCTTCCTCATAACGCTTAGGAGGAGAAGACTGGGAGTGTTTTTCTAATGTGCAACAAGTTGACGCATGCACATAATTTGTGCAGTATCATAACTGATCTCAGATCGGTGGAAGCTGAGTCAATGACAGCTTGGCAAGCACACTGGCTATAGCTAATCACTCATCAAAGATTCATGGATTATCCTCGATGCACAGGCTCAAATGCCCAAATAATAATATAAGATGTACCTTTATTGATCCCCCCCATAGAGGAAACTCAAAACGCTGCATTGACAAGCTTCAGTCTTTGTCAACAGGACACAGCAACGAAAATGACAGAAACAAGAGATACAATGGCTGGTAATAAAGATAATAGCCTGCTGCCGCCACAAGTGGGCGCTAAATTATATGATGGATGCAAACTGGCAGTATTAGATCCTTTATGTGACAGAATGCAGTTTTGAGATCAGATATAAAGAGACGTATCACTTCCATTTTGGTATCGTTCTAATTGATGTCTATTTTTAGCCTTAACCGGTCAAGCACTGCTTGCCTTGCTTGCCCTGATGGCATACCACTAATATAAGTATATTTAAAATTAACCAGACTATAACTCTTATCTATCAAGATGGAAGCCACACTATTTCTTTTATATTTAAACTAGTGTTTCCTCTACACCAAACACCATTATTGGCTAATTAATAACGAGATAACTTCTACCCTCATAAAGTCTGAATGAAAAATATCTCTTCATTTCTTTCCTTTTTTGTCTACTGCAGATGTTCTATTCTCTCTCAGTCTCGCTCTGATGGTGGCCAGCCTGTTGGAGACAGTGTTTATTACTAATATCCAGTTCAGCTCCAGCCAGTACAGTGCGGTGCCTCACTGGCTCAGTGTCCTTGTGTTACGATATCTATCTGTTGTCGTTTGCCTCCCTTCAACAAAGAACAACTGCATCAAAATCACCATTCCACCACCTGCTACAGGTATAATCACATCACAATCATAATATTTCTGCTACTACTAATAGTGCTGCATCTTATTGTAATCATTTTGTTCCCTGTAAAAAGTGTAAATTGAGTGACAGTTCATTGTACAATTTAATCTTGGAAATTGTACTTTGACAAAATTATCTTCACTCAAGGTGCACTTACTGTCTTTTTCCATAGTGTATAACTGCATCTCATGCTCTTCTTCAGCAAATGAAGTTTGCTCAGTTGTCATTGGGTGGGTTGCCACCCACTTGTTTTTATGTGCTTTTTTAATTTGCCCATGAAAAAAAAGAAATTACAATTTGAAATTTAATAATTTTGAAAAATCTTGCAAAGACATCTAAATATCTCAAAAAACGTTTTTTACCCTTGGCTGAGGTAAAAAACATTGTTGTATCAAAGTGCAATGGAGACTTTGCAAATTAATCCTGATGTAAGTGTGACTGCTTTGAATGTTTTTCTCAGTTTTTTTTTCCTTCATTTTGATTAACAGTATTGGGAATACTACCTGGCTTTTTTTGAAAGCATGTGCCACATTATGTATCTCAGTATCACTACTCTTGATTTTTGACAGACCCAACAGTGAATACAAGTATGATTTCTTCAAGAGCTCTTCAGAGCATCTCTGGTGATACACCTCTAGAAAAAAACCCTCCAGATATGGCCCTGGATGAACTGAGGAAACTGAGCAGAGATCTCATGGCCATTCGCCTCCAGATGGACAAACACTTCCAGGGGAGCAAAACCTCACAAGAATGGCAAATGATCGGGGTAGTCATCGACCGTCTGCTGTTCGGCTTGTACATTATCTTCATCTCGGTCAGCTTTCTCACCATCGTATCTATCTGGATCTGGAATCATTCGTTGGAAGATTGACGTTAAAGAGAGAGAGAGTGTTCAATCAAACAATTATATTCATCAGCAAAAGTTTGACAGGACGGTAGTTCACAAATTAATGTTGTAGTATTTCTCAGTAGTTTGTGAGGAAAATTCAAAATTTGATGCAGGAGAAACAAAATGAAATGCAGAGAGCTGCATTTTGTGCTTTTTAGTTTTGTTTTGTTGTGTTTTCTATATAAGGTTTGTTTCTAAAAGTACATTTTTCTTGGTTTGAGAAATTTCATACAATACTTTCTGTCTGAGGATTATATCTAGAAGACCATATCGACCAAACTGCTTGTACAGTCATTAGGAGGAGGGGTGCTGCTTTAAATACTTTTTTAATTTGTATAGGTAAGTGGTAGGAAATTCAGTTAACCTATGTTTCCTTTTCCTTTTCTTTTATTTAAAATAAGGTAAGTCCGAAAACTTTGGAAAAGGAATCCTCTTGGTTTTATTTATTCCTGCAGTTTGTCTCTTTTGCTGTTATTTATAAACAATCAATCCTGCAATTAATACCCAAACAGCTGGTTTGTACCACAGAACCACAGATTTCTAAAACAGCATAAAACCAAAACTAAGTACATGCTTCAACAGCGCAGAAACACAGCACCTGAGAATGGAACAGAGCTCAACTCCCAGAGGTGGAGGTGTTGAAAAATAAAATGGGTGAGTGGTTACCGAAGGTGTGGAACAACAAGTTCCATGTTGTCCTGTGTGTGTTTATGATCCATCTGCACATATCACAGTTTTTTGTGTTTTGCATCTATTCATTCTTATCTATTTGTGAGGCTATTTATTTATTTTTAGAAAGGTTTTTTTTTGTTTTTTTCTCATCTATGGCATTAGCTTCCACAAAGTGGACTCTAGTCTTCCTGGGATCCACAACACTCTACACTCAATAGTATGAAAGCCTCCATTTTCTACTGTATTGGATGAAAATACATTATATCCACAATGGGGCAATTAATTGGACATATTTGTAATTAGTAAAGTTGTGTGTTTTTTTGTTGGAGTATAGTCTGCATGTGTTAGTGTGTGTTTACACATATGTGAATGAGGTTTTTGTTGCAGGTTTTTTCAGCGTTTGGGTTTGGTTAGAGTTAGAGTTAGGTTATGGGTTGGTGTTAGGCATGTGGTGGTTGTGGTTATGGTTAGGGTAAGTCTCCAGAGAATTAATGTTACTCATTACAATCTCCCCCCTTAAGTTAGAAAAACAAGTATGTGTGTATGTAAGCCGCCAGCAGTCAGCTCTCTTTGCTTTAGTCGGAGGTTGTGGAAGATATTTGGTCCATCAGAAACATCCAGCATGAGTCCATCTCAGCAGATGATCACCATCATCTCAGGTTTACTCTTAGTATCAGGTAATGATGACCTACTTTTGTTCACTTCTTTATTAGAGAGTTATGTGTGTGTTATTTTCTAAACTGATGCATGTTTACCTTAAAGTATCTTTCTCCTCATGCAAATAATAAGCAGTACAGTTATTATTTTAATAATAATTAGTGTAGTAGTTTATGCTGTTTCAGGTTTAAGTGACCCTTACAGTGCGATGATGATCTTTTATGTTTTGGACAGGGAGATTTGAATTGACTCTTGTCATTGTATATGAGGAGAAAAATCCCTGAAAACATTTATCTATCCACCATATTTCACTATTTATCCTCCAACTTACAAGCTATGCATGCCACATTATGTTGAACAAAATGACTTTCTACTATTTACCTTACACATCACAACATTACTCAATGTTATCTAGCTGTTTGGCTTCCAGCTTAATTCAAAGCTCATTTTCTGGTCTGTGTCCAAATAATTCTGGCAGACTTTTTGAACATATGATCATATAAATAATTCATATATTAAATATGCAATAATATACAATTTAGTAATTTAATAAATATATCATTGTGGTTTATTGGTATTTAAATTGTGCAAAGTACAGCATTAGGTTTACATGGTTTAGTATAGCTTTGTATTTATAAATCAGCTCTTCAAAAACTAATGATGGGAAAGTTTAAAAGTCCAATTAAGGTATAATTAAAGTGGCAGTCTGTGTTGTTTTATAAACCTCCCCCCTCTCTCGTCAGTGTCTCTATGTTACTGTAAACTGACTTGTAAAGAAGGCCACAGCGGTCCAACCTATGAGTCCATGCAGGCTGTGTTTGACCTACAGCCCTTCAGGCCTGCAGTGAACCTCAGCAATCCCACCATAACCAACATCTCTTTCACCCTGTATGCTGTCCTGGGGGTGGTGAGTCTATTCATGCTCTAAGAAAAATACCAAGAGCACTTAAATCCAGTCAGTCTATATACTGCATGTGCATACAGCCATCACTGCAATTCATATTACTGATTGCCATGTGTATTGTTTCAAATCATTGCATTTTTGACTTAACTCTAACCTGGAGGTAGTAATCAGCTTCAGGTTAACCTGTTGTTTACTTTCATTTTAGAATGAGAAGACCCAGATACTCACTACTTTCCTATGGCTGAGACTGGTAAATAGCACGGAAAGACAATAATGTCATTAAATCTTGTGCAATTTATCGTGTGCCTGTAGCCACAGCAGGAACAAGTACTAAGATTACAGCAGATAATTTAATTCTATGTTGGACAGGTAATCATGCATTCTTTTTGATTATTTTACTGCAGTACTGGCACCATGAGTTCCTGGTTTGGCAGCCAGATGAATGTGACGGCGTCACCAGGATTTCTCTCCCTGTGAGGCAGCTCTGGTCTCCAGACATTATCGTGTATGAGTTGTAAGTTGAATTCAGCTGTAAGTTTTGTTTTGTCTTTGATAAATGTGAGGGTCTTGTATACACAAACTAAATTGCTCATTACACAGTAGTTACTGCCCTGTGACAGACAGGCGCACTTACCACCCATTCACATCTTGTTAAGTGCCGGTGAAGTTAAAGCATTAAGAGCAGATTCTGAATAGAGCATATGCAAGTGTCACTGGTCCATGCCTCACCCCAACAAGGAACAATAAACCCCATGTGAGCCATCAGCTGCACGTAAGAGGTGTTGACACAGAACAGGATGTGAGGACATCACACCTCCTGTTTGATTCAGAGCTGAGAATAGTTCTGGGACTGGCAAAAGGCTCTCTGGTCTTGTTATAAATCATGACTGGATACAACCTGGTATAACAATCTGGAGATACTAAATCGAGAACTGCTGTGTCCTGCATCAGCGCTGCAAGTGGTGTTGTCATGTTAGGGAGCGACAGTGATGTCCATCAAATGTGGAATCGACATATTTCTAGCTCAAATCAGTCAGATATTAAAAACATGTTTGAAATTTTAATATGCAAAGTTAAGGGAGCAAAAAATTTGCATGAATTGTGAAAGTAATTTTACCTCATATTTTTGATTCCCCATGGTTCTCATTTAAATACCATCTCAATGTGTTTTTTCTGTCATTTTGTGTTTCACTTCTTCCTGACTCCTCCACCTCCAACCCTCCCAGTGTCGATGATGATGTCTCCCAAGCTTGTCCTTACGTCTACGTCAACCACACGGGTCACATCCGCTGGGACAGGATGCTGCGGCTCGTCTCAGCCTGTAACCTGGAGATCTTCAGTTTTCCTTTCGATGTGCAGAACTGCACATTTACGTTTGGCTCCTACATGCACACCAGTAAGAAAAGACTTATTAAAAATTACACAATCGCAAACATAAACTCATCAAGTCATAGGCTACACTCAGACACATAGAACCTAAAGTGGGTCAGAAAATGCAATTTATATTTTGGGGATTTTTTTGGAGGGAACAAAAATAAATACAAAAGAAAAAAAGAGAACAAAAATATAAATCACTATGTAATAAATCAGGCTCAGCCTTGAGCCATCTTGTTCATTTAGGTTATCTTAGATTGCAGTATAGAACTGTCTGGCTAGCTTTCCTTCTCTCTTATTGTGTTTTTCTTTTTCACAGTAAGAGATGTAAGGGTCAGTCCAGCCCTGACCTTTGAGGAGATGTCTGGAAACTCAAAGCGTTACCTGGAAGCCAGTGGAGAGTGGGAACTGGTGGACATACTGGGAGAGACATCTATCCTCCAGTTTGGGATCGACGAGTGGGACATCATCACCTTCTGGGTGAGGGAAATCAGTTTACACAGTGTTTACTACTCTAGCAAATATAACAACCGTAAATAAAACGTCTGCCTATCAGAGACAACAGTGGGCGAGTCATGTCACATTTTATATTGTTTGTAAAAGCCAAAGTGCATCTTTATTTGTAGCCTTATATGTAAAATGCAGACAGGAGCGTGGTATCACTCTTCTCATCTAACTCTCATCAAAAAACAAACAACTGTATTTCTCAAAATGTCAAATTATTATTTAAATCGTCTATAATCAATAATCTTACAATAAGTACATATCTTAAGTACGTATCAAATGACAATCAAATGACAAATTGAAAACAATGTAACAATGTGACAGGCGTCTCTCACGGTAATGAACCTGCTCCTCCGCTTGACTTTATGGAGCTTCAAAGCAAATTACCTGCTGAGTGCTAAACAGCAGACAGACACAGTTAAAGACTAGCTGGTGAACATAGTGTAGAATTTAGCAGCTAAAGAGTCAGATAGTTCCCTGGTAACAAAATTTACATCACACAAACCCAAGTGGACCCTTGTGTACTCGCGGCTGCGAAAAGTGTAACACTAGCTTAAATAAGCAACTGTAGACAAGTTTGCTAAATCAACTCTAAAAAGTTGACGATATGTCAATGTTCCAATACATTAAGATCCTAGCTGTCAAATACAAAAACACACGTTTTAAATTTGTGGATTACACGTCCACAAAGATGCATTTAAACTGAACCTACCTTTCTTGTCCACTAGGTGGTCATCAAGCGGCGTCCAGTGCTCTACGTGGTGAACCTGCTCATTCCCAGCTCCTTCCTCATGCTCATCGACATCCTGTCTTTCTACCTGCCCCCCCACAGCGTCGACCGCGCCTCCTTCAAGATGACCCTCATCCTGGGCTACACTGTCTTCCTGCTCATCATGAACGACCTGCTGCCCAGCACAGCAAACGGCACGCCCATCATAGGTCAGAGGTGATGACATGTAGAGGTGACATAACCAGGGGGCTTACATAGCCTGGGTTATTGGTTCCAGCACCACTAACAGTTACTGTCCCATAGTGACCAAAACAAAATCAAACAATGGAGCTTTAAGTTTTGGGGGGTTTTTTTGTGACAAACTACAAAACTGTCGGACTGCCTTAGTTTCAACAGTCGACTGAAACTAATCAAAATGGTCGAACAAAAAATTACAAAAACATTTCTCAGGGTTGTTCCAACATTTTCTGGTCAATAACAAAACTTTTACATCCCAAAAATTTTCATGAACCAAACAATGACATATTTAACTTAACATAACTTAACATAATTTAAATTTTTGGCATATTTTTGGTATTCTGTTGTAAAAAAGTGCTTAGATAGAACATATAATATATTTCAAAGATGTTTAATTTAGTTGTATCAACACGTCCAGAAGCAACTCTACATGGGGTTTTTTGCTCTAGTTTAGTTTTTCTCCAGTAGAAGAAGCAGTCTCTGTACAGATCCTGATGCCACACTGCTCTCAATGAGAAAAGGCAACGCCCAAATTGAATCGGTTTATTGTACTGTTTATCACTCTATAATTTTTTTTCTATTTTGGGATAACAGAAATTGAATTCTTTTTTTTTTTATGGACTGCTGAAAACTGGTGGTGAAATTTTGCAAGTCTGCCATGCAACATTGCAAATACTTATTAATAATGCACTGCAAAACAGCCTGAAGTGATAAAGTTGATAGTTTTCTGAATACATCAATATATTGTTTGATGCTCCATCACAGAGAGAGAAACTCAAAATGTCTGGTCCATTAAAACAAAAATAAAGAAAAAAGCTAGCTAGTGAAAAAGAGAATATACTGTATAAACGTTTACTGAAGAGTAAATATAGTATTTTTGATTAATGGTGAGTTTTAAAAGCTGGAAATCTGATTACCTTGCAAAAGAAATTGCTGAGTCAATGGAAATGACCAACAACTCTAATTAAAAATCTTAAAAGTTTCACACATGACCTCTCTAATCGGTATCCTTCAATGTTTCAACCTGTCCTTCGATGTAGGTATCTATTTCTCAGTGTGTCTGGCCCTCATGGTCATCAGTCTACTGGAGACGGTCATCATTACCAACGTTCTCCACCACAGCACCATGAAATATCAAGAGGTTCCAAACTGGGTGAGGGTGGTTGTCCTCAAACACATTGCCACCCTCATTTGCTATCGCTGGCCGGAGGACGTCCAGCCCCCGTCTGTACGACAGAAGGATAAACCTGAAAGCTCAAATGGCAGCTCAGTACAACCAGCCAGCCAGACACCTGCCCAGCACCCAATCAACAACGGAGGTACTCAAACAGACCCAGTAACACGATTGTTTATATTGTTTAATATATATATATATCTATATATAGATATATATATGAATTTGGCTTCATAAGTTGAGTTCAGAGCAACCTCCACCTTACAGCATCTTACTCCAGCTATTTGTAAATCCATTTTTAAGTTTGCGTGTGAAGTCCTTCAAGCTCCAAGTTCATAGAATTACTTGCTGGTTTCAAATGACTGACTTAAAAAAAATGTAAGGAACGTCTTAGTAAGCTAACATCTGTATTCTGTCCATTCAAAAGCAATCACGAAAAGCATACATAAATGTCACTGGGTGCAAATATTTAAGTAATTTCTGTTATAATTTAGTGATACATAATCCTCAGGAAGGTAAACACATTTGTTTTAACTGTGCTGAGGTTCAAACAGCAGATGCAACAGGTTTCTGGTGATCTCTCTCATCACTGTTCTCCTGCCAGGTATAGCGGCTCTGCCTGAACTGCAACAGATCTGTCAATACCTGGGTGACCTTCGCGCCCACCTCACCTCGCTGCAGAAGGAGAGCGAGCTGCAGGGCCAGTGGTGCCACGTAGGATATGTCCTCGACTTCCTGCTGTTCCGCATCTATCTGCTGCTCATCTCCTGCTACGCCCTGGTCATCATCTCCATGTGGTGCGTCTGGATCAGCCAGTCCTAACTAGACAAGGGCAGGGATCAATTCACTGTCAATTCAAATATCTGTATAAGTAGAAGGCAACACAAAGCCTCTGCCAATATTTATCAGTTATTGTTTTGTAATGTTAAAGTTTATTTTTCTGGGTTTGATTTTGCAAGGAAATACAATGTACATGCACTACTGCTGGTTTCGATGTCCTGTATGATGTACCAATATGTAAATGCAGTGGAATAGTGTTGGGACAATGACTGTATGATATTCATCATCATCAACAAGAATATTTAGCATTCCTATACGTTATTTGCTGTTGTATATAAGCTAACTTATCCCCAGCACCGGTAGCACCTCATCTTTTCTCTGTAAGTGTAATGAGTTCTTTGTGAAAAATAAAAATCTAAAATATCAAAGTGACCAATGTCAAACTACAGATCATGATCACTGTTACCACCACATAGAAATAATCTGACTACAATGTCAATATTTAGTGTTATCAGTGATAAGGATGTATGACCTGAACTCTACTATCTTTTTTTCTGAAAATTATTGAGAAAGTTGTTTTTATTTAACTCAACAACTTCCTTAATGTAAATGGCCTTTTTGGACAAAGTTCGATCTAGCTACCAACATAGCATCTAAGCAGTACTGATAGAGATATCAAATAACACATATGAATACAGGTTTACATAAACATTTGTTCAAGTACTGTTGAATCTTTGTGCATCCTTTTCGACTTCTATTAATACTTCCAAAGTAGGATTATCCTACCATCTCTAGAGTTGGATGATTATCTGGTATACTCATAGGCAGGGACTATGCTGTTGCATATGAGTGGGTTCCCTCAGGGGTTGATTCTTGGACCTCTATTATTCAACTTATTGCTTTAATTTATGATAATATGACATGATTGACCTTCTCTGTTATTCACCAGCTGGCTATGTGAGATGATAGATATGATAATAAGAATGAATTGCCATTTCATTTTCATTCCTTTGTTGTTTTATTGAGCGACCTATTATCATCATTGTGAGCATGTCTGCATATTGATGTTAGTTTCTGGTCAAATGTACAGTCTCACAAAGCAGCCAGTGCGGCTGCTGACTGTTTGTTTTGTTTCGGTGGCGCCAACTCATTTCTGAGTTGGCACAACAAATTTCACCACTGATAATTAAAGAGGCAAAGCATCATTTTCATACAGTGCCCTAGGAAGCAAATTAACACGACAACCAGCCAATTGCATGCTGCTGTGTTTGCCTTGGCCTTAGCTATCATTACTTCTAGTGAAGTTGTTGATGTATATAAATACAAATCAAACTGATGATGATTCAAAAACCTGTTGTACAATTCAAGTACTCATTGTGCAAATACAGTTATCACATGAGTGGATCTCTGCAAGCAACTGGGAGTAGGTTATGCTACCATTCACTATACTCTACAGTCAATATTGGCCTTCAGAGGAGGTTACACATTTCATCTACCTATGAACAAATTCAGGTTGCTCCAGCAGATAGTCTCAGTCTGATGGAGCAGACTTGACTTTTATGCTTTATAATCACAGGCACTTGACACAATAAACGTTTAAGTGAGGCTGAAAATGACAGAGGTAAAGCCCACTGAGCTCATCGTCTTCTGTTTCATGCTTCTTCACGGTAAGATGGAAAACATTTTGACTATCCACAAAATAAGCAAAGAAGATGATCTGTTAAGAGCTGAATTTGATATTTCTTTGGTTACTTCTCATCCTTTACAGTTGGAACCTCCTTCAAATAATAGTATAATAATAATAATAATATAATAATACTAATAATAAAGTTTTATCTAAAGTTTACTTATGGTTTGTTGTCAGAAAATGCTAAACTAGAACCTAAAATGAAACACAATAACACAATAATGCTTTTTCCTACTTAACACTTAACATATACTACACACACAGTACACGTAGCTATAAAATACAACAAAACAAACAGGGTACAGATTAATATATGTCTACTATTTTCTTAAATTACATAATACAGGTTTGACTAAATGATTTTAGGAACTACATGCTACATTAATAAAAACCGTTTCAGTCCTTGTTTCTATGAGGTATTTGTTCATTATTACCAGCATTTATTGTTTTTAAAGAAAATCAGTCATGTATCTGTTTAACTTAGTTATTAAAAGATTAGCTAAATGATCAGGTGCCACTGATATGACATATAAAGATATAACAAAAAAACACTGTTACCTATCTTCTAACAAAGCACCCTTTATAACGGGTTTATAAGTTGTAACTTAATCATTTATTTTGTATTTTAGAAGCATTTTTAGGTCTTTCTTATTGACAGTAGAGTGATATCAGGAAAAGAAGAAGACAGATATGTAACGAAGGTCCCTGGTTGGACTTGAATGTTGCAGTTCATGGTGGCCATCTTAACCCCTAAGCCAAATGTCACCATACTAACGACTATATTATAGTTAATATGTCATTTACTAATAATTTATGAACCATTAATAAGAACAACTTTTGGGTTGCCAGGTTGAGGAAAAACCTTCTGGCTGGTGTTTATTAAGCATTAATAAAGCCTTTAGTTACAACTTATAAACCCTTTTTTAAAGTGTCTGACAGACACTGATGTGATGCTAAAAGCAGATGTGAGTTTTCAGATGTTTTCCAGTAATATGTGTTTTCTCCAACCACACTACGGAAGCCAAAAAACAGCTGCAGCTGCAATCATTTAATTTTATCCTATTATCTTTGGCTCTTATGTTAATTATCTCTCATACTGGATTATAAGAAGCCGAGAGGAGTCAATGGGGTGGCCATGATCATTTCCAGACCCATAACCAAAAATCTAATTTTCCAATGCTCTGTGCCCTGGATGCGACACCCACCCACACACAATTATGGCATCTATCTGGCAGTTCTTCAGGCTAATGATCCTGTTATCTTGAGAAAACAACTTTGTTATGAAAAGATAATTCACTGATCTTATTATAAAAGGTTGAAAAGAAACATTTCAACTGCAGTCATAACTGAAAGATCTGTGCCCATACCAGGAAAAATATCTTAACTGAACACATCAGTGTTCTGTGAAAGTTCTGACGGGCAAGTGATAACTTTTTCTTTTTTTCTTTTTTTTTTCAAGTCTGTGTTTTTCTCATCTGTGAAAACAGGTGAAATGGCTTGAGGCCTTCAAGGTTTTATGGACAAAAGTCTCTTGGGTGAATGTCCTATATGTGAGTCATTCTTCCATTACAGCTTTTCCCTTGCGAGGATGTTGTCCCTCTTTATACTCTGTCACCTGACTTCTTAAAACATTTCTTGCAGAAAGCCTTCACCAATTAAAATACATGTCTAGCCAAAAGAAGAAACAGATCAGAGTGCATGGAGAAATTAGAAATGATGAAAAAAAACAGACATGCACTGTATTAAATGTATGATTTTTGTTTCCTACTGTCTTTTTTTAAACTCAGGTTTTGTAGCAGCATTGAACTGCACCAGCCCCACTCCTGAATCCTTGTTTAATGGCCTTGAGAAGGAATTATTCTCTAAACATCTGCTCCGGCCTGTAAAAAGCTTTTTGAATCCAGTTGACATATCCATCGCTATCACTGTGGTGGGAATTGTAGGAGTGGTGAGTCTACACAAGCACCTATTGCAATTATACCTTCACATAGGAATGCATAATGTTTTCAAATAAGTTTTTAACAGTCATTGATTTAGACTCATTATCAAAATTAATTAATTGCCAGCTCTATAATTAACATAAAATATGTTTCATCTTTAGGATGCAAAGACCCAAACCCTGACAACAGTCTTATGGCAAATCCTGGTAAGTTTTAAGAGCGCTGACAAAAACATCATAGATTTGGAAGCGTTTATCTATTGTATTTATATTGTAGCATCTTCCTAATTAATCTGATTGCATTAGTGGTTGTTTGTAGCAAAGTTAGCCAAACTGGGGGGGGGGGGGCGGACGGACGGACGTCAAAGTCTGAAATCTGCAGATTCTACCAGTTGTTTTCTCTCATAAATCAAAGAGATTTAGTTCAAAATGATACTTACACACCTATTGATTTAAAATGATTAAATTATATTATGATATTGGTATTGTGTTGTTTAATGTAGGAATGGGATATAGAGGGACTGAGCTGGGATGAAGAGGAATGTGAAACTAAAAGAGTCTCTGTCCCTCGGGAAAAGCTTTGGGTCCCAGACGTCCAAGTCGCAGAGTTGTGAGTTAAAACGATGTTCAGTAGTTTGTGAGCTTTTTCAAATTATTGTTCAATTAATCATTTAATAGTTAAACTGTTGTAATTCTATCACATTCTTTTCCAGCATGGATGAGGACAATTCTCCCTCAACTCCCTATGTCTACTTATACAACACAGGTCGTGTTTTTGATGATAAACCAATCAGAGTGGTCAGTTCCTGCAAATTAGAAATCTATACTTTCCCCTTTGATATCCAAAACTGCTCTCTGACCTTTGGACCATACCTCCACTTTGGTAAGCTTTGAACTGCATGACTCATACTGTTAAATATACAGTACAGGATAAAATCCAGATTTGTATACTACAAATGTTGACTGGAGATTAACTCTGATCTTTTTTTTGTCAGTTGTTAATCTAACTTGAGGCATACAAGTGTTGGTAAAGAAATATGAATATGATACAAGGTTACACTAAAACACTTGCATGCCTCACATTTAAATAATTTGACAAATTCAACTGTGAAAAGCCCTTTTTAGTATCAAAATATCCCAGTGCATTTGGCTGGATATATGTAAATTTATATGAATGACTGTGTTTTCAGTGCTGGCCCGATTGCATTTAAATTTTAAAAGTCCAACGTGTAGCCTTTTTACTCAAATATTGCTGGCTGTTTCCCTGTGGTTTCAAGTCTTTATGCCAAGCTAAGATAAGCAGCTGCTTGCTGTAGCTTTAGATTTACTGTACACATGTGAGAGTGGCATGGATATTCTAATCTAAATATCAGGAAGGAAGACGTGAGCATATCTTATAAAACACTGAACTAAAACCACATTTACTTTAACAAAAGCTGCCACAAATCACAGATAACATCACTTTGGGCATCTAATGACTCAAAACAGAACTGTGCTGTTAAATGTAATTCAAGCTACGGATGTAAGGATGGTTCAAGGGGCCACAGCTGAAGAGATCCTGCAGGAGTCCAGAGAAGTGCTGAAGACCAATGGGGAGTGGGAGCTGGCAGACATCATTATAGCTAATGTTGCCCTGGTGTTAAGTGAGGGAGAATATTCTGAAATCCAATACTCTGTAAGCACTTTTGAATGTTTTACTCATCACTATGATCACCTATTTTGAATTATAATTGCTGATCAACTGCTCATCTGCAAGCATACATAGACTATATACAAATGTTCATAGTATACTGTTCTTGTGACCATTATCTTTTATTCTTATTTTTTTTTATATTTTAAGAACAGAGGTTTAACCTACTGAGACCAAGCAGAGTATCAAGGCTGCCTATCCCAGACCTAACCAGTCTGATGGTTGTAATGCAGAAATACCTCTTGGCAACTTTCCTTTTCATAATAATTATACCTGTATTTCAGGATGTATGCAGTGATAATTTGCTGAAGTAAAAATGTGAAGATGACTCTAAAAATATCAGCTTCCAGTGGAACAAGAGACCTAAAGCAAATGCTTTTGCATGCAAATTCAGAAAGAAATGAAAGTCCAAAGTCTTGATTTTACCAACTGTCCCTGTGTCTCTTCCCAAGATCATTTTAAGACGTCGGCCACTCCTCTATGTGGTGAACCTGCTGATCCCTAGCTGCTTCCTCATCACATTGGACCTCTTCAGCTTCCTGCTGCCTCCGCAAAGTGTGGACCGATCCTCCTTCAAGATGACCCTCATCCTGGGCTACACTGTCTTCCTGCTCATCATGAATGACCTGCTGCCTATCACTGGGGAGACAACACCTCTCATCAGTGAGTGACACCTGTGATATTTTTGTTTCAGAGGTGAAAGAACATACATGCTTATTTATTAAATCCACTGTTGCACATGCGCATTCAAAACTAAGAGCTGCTTAGTTTAACCACACACTCTTTGACTGCTAACTGAACAACTCTGAACAAGGGTGGAAAGTGTTTATTATTAAATTTCTGGATAGAGACTATTTGTTGATAGAAGGTAGATATAATTAAAACTGAACTAGGATATTGTTTCTGGAAAGAAATTTTGTTTAATTTGTTAAATGTTATTTTTTAATTCTGTAAGCAGCACAAACTTCACCTTCACCTCCAATGTATTGGCGTGGCAGAGAAATCAGAGACTTGACTACAGTTTATATTTGATGATTAGTCTTTTCTGCAGGGTTATCAGAATCTGCCCCATCATCAGTTGCAACTCCAGCTGTGATTTTCCACTATAGTTTTCCACACACACTCATGGAGACAATTATATTTTAAAACCATTAGCGCCCAATTGACCAATTTACGTTTAAAAAAATTGTACTTGCCCTCAGAGTCATATAGTGGTACAGCCTGAACATGTATACATGTCCCACTTATGTTTTTGATTCAGAGTGACTTACGTTTCCTGAAGCTGTCATCAGGCTCAATGTCCATCGCAAACAAGCGTGCAAAATCTGCTTTGAAATCACAGAAAAAAGACGCTCCTTTTAACTCCAGAACCTGCCTGAAAATCATTAAGTTTTTAGTTTTATTCAGTATCAAAGTCTTTTAGTGACAGTTGTCTTTACGTCCACGTCTACACTGCAAACAGGAACAGCTAGTGGCTAATTCGGCATACTTTTAATGGCGCTAATTTTGTTAAATGTGAACAAATATCGGTTAAAAACATTCAAGATGTATGCCACAGCTGACTTCCTGGCAACGTTACAGCTACTTCCCGTTTACGTCCCCCCAAGTCCCCAAATTATCGGAAGTGTAGTTCCAAGACTTACAGCGTAATTAGCCCCCAAATCAAAGTAAGACAAAGAATAATAACAGGAGTGATAAAAATCCATTATTATTATTCATTAAGGTTGCAAAGTTTAATTATTTTTTTTTGACAGGAATAAGGCTCCGAAAGCCCCATTGACATGATTCTTATATTCCTGGAGGACTGCACTCTGCTCTAGCCATTAATATACAAATGTGCCCTGTGTTCAAAACCTGTTGACAAAAAAATTAAATTTGTGTGGGGTGATGGGGGTGTGCATGAACATGGATTTCTTAGTTTTGTTTCAGGGGAGATCTTCAGTGTCAGACCCCTGCACTAGAAGCCGGAGAGAAGATATTTTTATTTCATAGTATCTGTGAAACAGTAGTTAATACCTTGTCTTCTGAAGAAACTGGATCATCCCCAGCAGTTCTACAGCCTAAATGCCAGCCTGGCACTGGGCTCCACCCTGAATAAGAAGACTTAATGAGTGTGTTGGCTTTAGTATCATGGTTATGGTTTCATTGTTACAAAGGCACACCTCATTGCAGATGATCAGAAACCGTGAAACTGCTGCAATTGTGTATTCAAGGAGATGAATAACAGGTTCCTCAAGTTTTAATGTAAACATTATTTCCTGTACACAATCATAATCAAGATAAGACTGAAAACCAGGATAGCAACATGTAAAACATTAACAATATTTAATGAAAAGTGTACTGAACCCTTGCTGTCGCTGCTGCTGTCTCTGTTGTTGTTGTTGTTGTCGTTGTTTCCTGCAGATGTGTTCTTCTGCATCAGTCTCGCTCTGATGGTGGCCAGCCTGTTGGAGACAGTGTTCATCACTAACATCCAGTTCAGCTCTAGCCAGTACAGCGCAGTGCCTCAGTGGCTCAGCATCCTCGTGTTACAATATCTAGCTGTTGTCGTTTGCATCCCTCCAAAGAAAAAAAGCAACCGAACTACAGTCTTCTTCAACCCATCTACTAGAGGTATATCATTATTATTATTGGTAGTACTAGTAGTATTGACTTTAACAATAAAAGACTTGAGAACTTTAACCAGATATTTGATTTAGTTTGACCCAGCTGCAAGGGATTGATTGGGTTAGGGAAACCTTTGCAGTATATTTTGGACAAAATATTTTATAGAACTACATGTTACGGAAAACTAATATGTAACATCTTTGTTTATTGTTGTAGTATCTGTTGAATAATTTATACAAACTATGAAAATTGCGGAAACCACTCAAGTTTGTCACTGATCTATAAAATTTGCTTTTTCACTTTCTTTCAAATGACTTTTTTCTACTCATGTCAGTTATCGTTTCAATAACACACAACAAAGTGCCCTGAAATAATGACAATCACACTTAACTAAGATTCTTAGATTCCAGTTAAAGACTGGTTAAATGTTATTTGTTGCCAGTTTAACTGATGGTTACAGGGGGTGTATTTCTTCAGTTAGAGTTAACTGGAAACATCCATTTATTTTACTACTTAAAGTAGTGGCATTCACAATACTTGTTGTAGAGCTGTTAAATCTGACTGAAGTTGCTGGAGAACTGGAGAACTTAGTTCAGCATCACTTGAATTTTCAATTCATGAAATATTCATGTGTTTATTTTCCTCCTAAATACAAATGTATGGATATATAAACATGTTACATTAAAATCACAATTCTCCTTTTATAACAATCTTACTGGGTAACTGGTAACTGCACACATAACGTTTCTTTGGAAATGACTGTTACTTATGCACTGATTTCAAACAGTTGTAGAACAGTATAACTACATTTGAGGAGTCCTGATGTAAAATTTTGATCGACGCCAGCCAAGACTAATAATTTTTTTTATGATTAGTAGCGTTATTTGCATAAATTCAAACATATTGTTTTTTGTTTTTGACAGACCCAGCAATCCACACAAACAACAGCAACATCTCAGTAATTGATCCTCAGGGTATGTCCGATGATATACCTCTAGTGAAACCCCACCTGGCCCTCTCGGCTCCTCCGGAGCCGGCCCTGGAAGAACTGAAGAAGCTGAGCAGAGATCTCGTGGCCATCCGTCTCCAGATGGACAAACACTTCCAGGGGAGCAACACCTCGCAGGAATGGCACATGATCGGGATAGTAGTTGACCGTCTGCTGTTCTGCCTGTACATTATTTTCATCTCTGTCAGCTTCATCACCATCATCGCAATCTGGATCTGGAACAACTCGTATGCTACATGATTAACCAGCAGGTTACATGTACGAGGAGCTCACATGCTGTGGGCCAGAGTGGTACTTAGCTGCTTAACTCTGTCAAGGTCAAAGTTTGGTAGACTTATATTTATCAATGTTTTTTCTTTTTAAGATTATGTGAAGCAGTGGTTTGTTCCAAAATTCGGAAAAAGAAACTCAAAGGTTTTATATTCATACTGCATTTCACTTAGATTCCCTTTGCATCAACAACTTCCACAAAGTGGCAAAAGCTGCCGAATCTAGTGTCCAACCCGCTCTTGTAGACTTGAGCAGTTAGTGTCTCACGTATGAAATATGCCAACATACAGTGCACTTAACCCATGCACACGTCTCTTAATATTGCTTCAGAGCAGAAGATTATCCCACAATTCACCTGAATCACACCAGTCCAGTTGTTGGCGGTAATCCACCATTACACTGGTTTTAGTTTAGCTGTGAGAATTATCACAAATTTGATGTCAGTGTATATATAAATAATAAAGGAGAATCTCTATGGTTAATCCTGTATATTTGCTCCCTTTGTGGAAATTAAGTAAAACCAACAAAACATCTGAGCTTGATAAAATCATGTGTTTGTATTAACGAGAGCCACAGGATGTCCTCATTAATCAAGTGGCTCCCAGTGAGCTCTGGCAAGGTTAGGGTAACTGGCATGGACCCCTGGTCTGATGGCAAGTACACAACTGTCATTAGAGTAGCAGGTATATGGTCATTAATGATGCACTCCCAAATTTCATGTCAATCTATCCAATAAATGTCAAGACATTTAATTTCACTTGAAACCACAAATGTCAATGTCATGGTGTGAGAGGAAAAGTAAAGAGATCAACAAAGTCACTGGGATTTATCCACTGGGGACCGTGAATGTCTGTACAAAATGTCATGGCAATCCCTCCAATAGTTTTTGATATTTAACAACTGATAAAAAGCAAAATGAGTACTGCTAATGAAGAGGAATGTTTATCATTTAGTCACATTTGTGGTTTTAAATTTTGATGATACGATCAACCCCTCTGATTTGTTTTTAATGTCATATTTTCATTCTAAACAGCTAGGTTTTATACCAAGTATAATTATTTAAACAATGGATAAACAGTGAACCAGTGCAGCAGAAGAGTCCAATGTTGCTAACCACTGTGAAGCTGTAAAGATAAATCTCTTTTTAAAAAGCCAGTCAACATCCTCAGGGGAAAATAAAAACCTCAGCCTGTAATGCTTAACTGTGTTTTACACTCTAAATAAAATTAGATTTAATTGAATGTATTTATAATTACACCAACAAACTTAATAGTTTTAATGGAGGAAGTAAATCCACATTTGTCTCCAGTCTGTGTCCATGTACAGCACTAAGTCAAGGGGAAAGTTTCAATTAATTTTCAAGAAATCTTGTAAAATGTTATACGTTTATCCGTCTATGAACTTTATGACTATGTTTTGGTTACAAGGCTTCAATGTTAAAACCACATTTACTCTTTTTAAAAAAAATTCTAAACTCATTACTGTATACTGTCAGATACTTTTTATTGTATTCTGTTTACTACAAACCCCAAATCCAGATCATTATCTACAAAGTATATTTCATTTTCAATAGGCTACAGGCAGTAATATGTTTTTATGACACCAGTAGAAAAATTTCCCAGATCCTCCAGATGCTCTCAGGCCACACAGTTTACATTATGTTATTGAGGTTGAAGTTCTGCTGAACTGACTGATGTCAGATTGTATCCACAAGATGGAGCTATTGGTCAATTGTTGAAGGTTTTAGACACTGAGTAAAGTGAACTGTGGGCTGTTAAACAGTTATAATTGTATTTCAGAAAGAATAGTCCACAGAAGTGATTTTTACACATTAATGCATGAATCATTATAATTTAATATTGTGCTGAAATGGTCCAGTCTACATAATGAGTTTTATATAAATACATTTTGATGCTTCTGCTCTTCTAAAGGTTTATGTACAAAATACAAAGAAGGCCCAAATCTGTCTTTTTCCTCTGTGTTCAGCATGCTTTGACAACAAATAACGTCAGAGCTGCCTCACCGCTTTCTGATTGTAGCACACATTGCATGTTTATGATTTTGGGTGATTATGAAGTTTTTTTCTACAAATCTTGTTGAAAGTTGGGGGGTATTTGATCAGGGTTTATCTGTAGTGTGGATTTAAGGACTAAGTAGTGTTACTCTCTTGAGAGAAAGAACTTCAAATGTAGGTTTAAAAGAACGTCTTTTTCACTCAGCTTTAGTTTACAGCTGAAATTATCAATCAAGTTTTTATCAGTTTACCTGCAACTATTTTGATAATGAATTCATCAAGTCAACATTAAAATAAACTGAACCCCTTCAGTTTTGGACTGTCGGTTGAAAAGTCATATTTGGCTCTAGGAAATTATGATTCACTGTTTTCTAATGTTTTATTGTCTAGAAAATTAAGTGAGTAAACAGCAGATTAACTGATTATCGAAACAATTGTTAGTTACTTCAGTTTAGCTTTAATTAACAAGAAAAACTCAACTTTTCTATCAACACACAAAAACAAAGACTCTTATGAACAGTCTAACCAGTCTTTTATTGTCAACATAAGTACAGAACAAAGGCAAATTAACACAAATAATAATCATAATAACAATAATTAACATTTTTAATGATAGACTTTTTAATCTGTAGTGCACTTTAAACCTCCACACGCCTCCATGTTAAAGGCAGTCCAAGGACAAACAATCTGCTGATCTGAGGAGGTTTTTTGGTGGAGTCGTTTGGTCACTTTGTTCAGGAGTCATGAAGTGAAGAGTTCAGAGTTTCCTTTTAAAAGCAGCCTGCTTAAAATGAAAAGACATGGGTACAAGTTTATCTCTTCAATGCTCATCTGTGAGGGGTAAAGGGCATGAATATCACATATATTGCTTTAAGTAGCATCTCATGAGGGTGTTCATCTCATCAGGAGTTGTACACATAAAAGCAAAGCCTGTTGAGAACGGCATGTACCCTGGTGCCTAATCTGTTAAAAAGGTTTATACGTATAAAATTTAATTTGGGACAAAAATCCAGGAAAAAAAAAAAAAAAGAAATCTAATATTTGAAATGTTTGGTTCAACCAGCGGAGTGCAAATTTGTTTTCCCACATCTTTCTTCCTATCATTAACCATGGTATGAACATGTATTCAAAAACTCATCCGATGAAAAGAAGCAACCTAACATTTTTATAAGTAACACCTGAGGCTGCTGGTTATTTTAACTCACTGTAGAAACACCACTTGTGCACACTTAATATGAAGCCCTAAAAGCAAAGTCAGTCACAAGATTTTTTTTTTTTTTTTTTTTTTAACTCTGTGGGAGTTACAGTCCAGATATGATTTTAACAAGTGAAAAAAAAAAAAAAAAATGTAATTAGATCAGTGGTTCCCGACCTGGGGATTAGGACCCACGAAATAGTCCTAGGAAAAATCTGAGGGGTCCCCTGATAATTGAAATGGCAAGAAAGCTAGAAAAAAACATCACCGTTATTTCAGATTATACTAATTTTTCTTGTTAGATACTGGGCACTTCTTTGAACTTCTAAAAATCCCTCAAATAAAACAAAACAATCAGAGATGGAAAATGAATTTCAGTGAACTGGCCCCAGCTACACATTAAGCATACAGACATGAGAGTGGTATCAATCTTCTCATTTTACTTTTGCCAGAAGAGTAAAGGAGTATATTTCCAAAATGTCAAAATATTCCTTTGAGGGGTCACAAGCCAAAAATGTTAGGAACCACTATGCTAGACTACTAAAATCTGTTGGAGAAAACCCACTTTAATATGAAAGATTTCAGTCCAAGAGGTGATTAATGCTTCTGCTTCACTTTAAGAGTATGATAAACTGATGACCTCTTTAAGTTTGGACTAAAACCCTTGACAATATAGTGCAACCCAGGTGACAGGAGCTTCATTAAAGAAACAAGGACAATTCATGGTATAGGTTCATGTTCTCACAACAAGCATCTGAAAAATCCCCCAAAAGAGTGACCGTCCCGACTCACCCCTCCAACACAAACAGACAGGATCAGTGCAATTAACTGGACTCTCTCTATTATTTCAAAACCTACGATGTTAGAAAACAGGCAAGTGCTGATTAGGCTGGTGCAAACCGTTTGTGCATGGCTGCATGTACAGCAGGTAGACGTGTGTACACACACACACACACACACACACACACACACACACACACACACACACTCACACTCACACTCACACTCACACTCACACACAAGCACTCATATTCACACAGCACTTTCTAGCAACCACACTCACACACAAAGCAGCACAAAAATGGAGCATTTTAGTTTCATTAAAAAATATTTGCAACACCGACTCTGAAACCTCTTCCTGAAGCGCAGTTCTATAAATTCCAATGTAACTCCACCAGCACTGCCAGTCTAAGTTCATTGGTCCCAGAGGCACATAAGCGTGGCTAAAACAGTTTAAAACATGACAATAAGGATCAGGGATCAGAAAGGAATAATTCAATGTCTTCAGTGTTTTCAAATTAAAACAAACAAACAAAAAAAAAAAACCTCAATATAAAGGGCAGGATAGCTTCAATACAGTATCTGCACTGAAAATCAATCAAATCATAAAACAGATCTAAACTTTTACTTGCTATTTGATTTCTTTTTTTAAAAATAGACCATGTCAATTTAGGTCACAAAAACAAAGTTCAGCTAAGCCAGTAGCCAGTAAAATCACCAGAGTCAAAGCAGTTGCCAGAAGCTGCAGTTGTAGGAAGGAGGAATATCAACCCTGGGTACAATAATCTGAGCAAACACTTGTTTTTCTGATCCACCTAAATGTCAAATATATTGATTTTACCACAGAAGAACAAAGTGCCATGAAGTTTAGTGAATCTCAGGCCCTTTTCAAACATGTAACTGCAACAGGGCTGGGGTTAAACTTCCCTGTAAAGCAGCAGGTTTTGTCATCCACACTTAACTTTCTCATACAAAACAATTCACACACACACAACCTTTCTAAACTGTGCAAACGGGTGCAGCACACAATGGGGAGAAAAACTGTGTTCTCACTTCTCTCACAGGCCAAAATGATGGATTTTAAAAACATTTTTGTAGCAACAAGGATTACTGTCAGACAATGTTTTTCTGTTTCTACCAATGGGTGTCACCAAAATTAATATTTTTAAGTCCTACATACAGGACTTTTAATCTTTATTTATGTACGAGGAAATTAAATGAAATTATTACTTTAGGACCAACATTCTGTGGATGATCCAATGCTGACTTGTAGAAGAAAAGTTAGAATATTTTTAAAGCTATGTTTCTTTGAGGAAAACTCAATTAGAAAATTGCAGAGCCGTGGAGGGAATTGAGATTTTTTTTTTTTTTTTTTTTTTTTTTCTTTAAAGTCGCTTGATTTTCATGTTAAAATGACTCTTGTTCAAACAGGATTCATTCACAGCATGTGTGAAAAGAGCTTGCAGAAAAAATCAATCTGAAAATCAACAGTTGCTGTGTTCCTCTTTAACTCATATGACACTGGCACAACTGATGGTAATAACTGCACATCTGGAAGTCTATTGAGATCACAACAGCTGTTTGCAGCGAGTATTGTCACCCAGGCCTGAGAGGAGTGGAACGGAAAGAGAGGTGGTCAGTCTCTACAATCATGGTCGCGTTGTGCTCTTCTTTCTTCTTCTCTTGTCTCCGAGTTTCCTCAGTTACCAGCACTAGGTCCCACCTCCCTCGTCTTCTTGTTCCTCCATGTTTTTACGTGCCATCCTCTCTCTCCGCTCTGCCAGCCGCTGACACCGAGGGCAGTCTTTACCTGTCCGGAAGCAGCTGCGATGGTAACATGCATGACATTCTGCAAAGGGAGAAAACAAGACAAAAATAAAGGTCAGTGACATAACACTTCAAAGGATTTACAGTGTCATGATAAGACGGAGAGCTGCTCCATTCTCCTAAACCAAACAATGCAGCAGTGTTCACATAGAGAACGTAAACCAGTTAAACTAGTTTGCCGACAATGAGATGTTGTCCCAACAAAACAGCCAATCACGATCAGATCTGAGGGAGGAAGGGTGAGCAGGGGAGTATAAAAGGCACAGGAGTTAAAGACAGCGAGGCAGAAGGCAGGAGGCAGGTATGTGGGAAAGCTGATATTCTGGGAAACACACACACACACACACACACACACACACACACAAACACACCCTGAACCTGTTCAGACACAATCTGTTCTTCCAGGAGTGCTTCACAACCCTTCAATCTCTCAACTCATCTGCTTCCACAGATAGTTATAACTGTAATCCCTGTCTGAAGTGATTTTGTTTCTTTTTCCACCAAATTTTTTTTTTTTAAAATGACATAAAAATAAAAGTTTTTAAAAAATCGATGAAATGACAAACCACGCAAATTCAAAAATATTGTTTATTTCATGTTCACATTAAGATGGAACTTAAATAATAGCAGGCAGATGTAAAAAAAAAAAAAAAAAACAACTAAAAAGCATAAATTACACATTAATTCATTCTGACACACGTAGTCACCTCGTATAAGACATTCTTCCTTCAACAAAAATCTAAATAAAGACAAAATGGCTTAAAATCAATCACAGATAAGGCAGCGTAACAACAGGCATAATGTTTCCTCTGAGATGGAAGCGTGCACATCTTAATAAAACACTACTGCTGATTTCAAAGAGAAAACAGAAATCAGCTCATGTCAAAATGCAAATTTCCCCACTGCAGGACTTATCTATCTTATCTTAAGTAGTGTTTGGCTAGATTAAAAAAAACCTCCACAGGCTCTCAGAGGCAACATGTGCAACAGACTAACCCCACTACAAATATCCAAACGGAAATTCATGACCAAAGTTGGCTGAAATGTAAACATTTACGAGTGAAACACCACTTTGGTATCATCTGCCATCCCTAGCACAAGAAATTATCCCAACTTGGCTGCAATCCACCTCTTGGTGACAAGCTGAGGCCAAGACAAAAACAGTGCAGAGCTCAGAGCCAAAGACAAGAAACTAAACCACCGGTGAGACACCAACACCTCCAGAATCTAAGCCAAGAGACACCCATCACCAAATAGCTGCCAAAATATCTTCCCTCCATCACCTGTGCAAAGCCAAGAAACAGACACAACCATAGTGCCAGGAACTCAGTGACAAATGGGAGCAGTAGTAGAAAAGTGTGAGACTCAAACCACCAGACAGTTGACAGGGTGTGAAAGGTGAGAAAGAAGTAGAAGAAGTAGAACTGCACATTTAATCTGATAATCAGATTTTAGTGAAAGCCAAAAAATATGCTTGGCATGATGGGAAAATGCGCTCGTTTGCTTGCTTGCCGATAATTAGTTGAGAAATCGATACCACTGTCATTATATGTCTGCTAAATGACTCTACAGCCAGAAGGAAGCCACTGCACCCAGCCAAGGAATAGTCTGACCCCTGACCCGCGACACAAAACTGCAACTCGTCACTTGGCTCAGATTAAGCAAACAAGCTATAATGTGTTAATTAGTTTGCTTTAAAGTTGCTGGTAGGCAGATATTGCTACCATCAGACAGAGCCGGGCTAGCTGTTTCCCCTTGTTTCCAGTCATTATGCTAAGCTAAAGCTAACCATCTGCTATGAGACATGAGTGTGGTATCAATCTTCTCATCTAACTCAGCAACAAAGTCAATAAGGATATTTCCTGATATGTTACTTTAATGTTACTTAATTACTATAATACTTGATTATTTGATATTGTTAACACTGCTGTCAGGATTATTGCAAAGGCAAAAAAGTCTTGTCAATGTAGTTGTGATTGTGCAGCTGTGGCAAGACAGTATTTGAAATATACAGATTATAAAATCTAGGGAACTGTGACCAAAAGAAAATAACCTCTGTAAAACAACTATAGACTTTTGCTTGATATGTCCTCAGCTAACTCTAACCAATAATCAGTCATCAGTATCTGGACACATGTAATTTACCGTCCATCAAATATTACCTTTTCAGCTATGTAGTGAACTGTAACTTGGCTGATTACATTCCAGGAGCCGGCATTTCTTACCCTTCGTAGCTTGAATATGTCTAAGCTTCTTACTGCTCTTACTCTTGTCCTCCACCTCTCTCGGTATTATCATCTGTGTCATTCATATCTGCACTCTCTCCATCATCCGTGTTGCTCTCCTTTTCTGTTCCTTCCCTCGTCTTCCTGCCTCTGGTTACTCTCCTGGCTTTGCGAGTTTTACGACCTCTCCAGTTACTCCGTGTTATGGTGGTTGACTCTTTTTGGCCTGTCTCCTCAGTTTCTACCTCTCTTTTTCCATCACTTTCCCTGCTTTTATCCTCCTCTGCTCTGCTTTTCCCTCTCGAGAAAACACCGGACAGCTGATGAGGTTTCAGCAATTCCATAGCTGTAACTTTCTCCCCTTTTTCTGCACCAGATTTGAATTTTACCGTTTCAGCTGCCTCCATCTTGCCTTTGTCTTGCTTATCGTTACCCTCCTCAACCACCCACTTGGCTTTCCCCTTCTCTTTAGTTCCTGTTGGTTTCTCCAAAAACTGATTTTCAGATTCTTCCCCTTTCACTTCTGTTTTCCCTTCACATTCCTGCTCTCTTTTTGAGAAACCCTTGGGTAGATTCAGTAACCCTGATACCTTCCAACGTCCTTTCCTCTCTTGTCCGACTCCATCTAAACTCTCCATACTGCTGCATGTTTCACTGTCACTGTCACATCCGTCTCCTTTTGAGATGCTCTTCTTTAGTCTGTCTATTTGAAGAACTTTCAACAGGTTAACTTTTTCCTTTTTCGCATGCCCATCTTTCCTTTCCTTTTTCTTTGCTCCCTCTTTGCTACATACCTTCCCGTGATCATTTCCTTTCTGCTCTCTCTCTTCCTCCCTCTCCGACTCTGTCCCTCCCTCCTGTCCCTCATGCTCTCCTTCATCACCTTTACTCCTAGAGAAAATGTTAACTAGCTTTCCAGGAGCGAAAGCCTGGAATATTCCTCGTCTTTCCTGTCTCTCTTTTGGTGTATGCCTTGGCTCTTCTCCCATCTCTCCCCTCTCCCCTTGCTCTCCACCATGATCCACTGCTAGCTCTAAAACCTCCTCCCCTCCCTCCCCCTCTCTCCTGTCTTTGGAGAGGGCCCTTGCCAGCCTACGAGGTTTGGAGATCTTCCAGTCTCTCCAAGAAAGTGGAATGAAGGGGCGGGGTGAGGGGGCTCTCGAGCCGCCCAGGCCTGCCACCAGCAGAGAGGGCTCACCTTCACAGCGCTGGCACTTGTTCAACTGGAAGGGGAAGATGATGTCTTTGTCGTTGCCGCAGAACTCGCACACAAAACCTTTCGCCTGGCACAGCTGGGGAAGATCGAAGCAAAGGTGACAGAGAAAGCAAAATACTGGATTAAGATGAAATGGGTTTTAGAAATATCTGGTTATTTATAGACTGAAGTTCCTGATGTGACTGATCTCTTCCCAAAAAGTGTTTAATCACTGTATCTTACCACACAGCCAGCTACGTGCAAGGTACCAAGTTTAAGCAGCTCTTTCATTCGGGGAGCCAGTTCCCCGTTGCGCACAGCGGTGAGGTCATTGAGGGAGAAGAGGTGAAGGTCCTCAGTCAGGTGACCTGGCAGGCTGTCAAACTGGTCCAGCACCCTGAGGGACACACATGCACACACACAGACATTGGTGATGCCCGTCTTAGAGGGAGCATAATTTTGTGTGAAACTTGTGAAACCAACAGAATTCCTACTCTTTAGCCAAACGACAGGTCTTGAAGAGATTTTTCATGTGAAACAGCTGCACTCTCAAAACCTGAACAAAAACGGAGAAAAAAAATTACCTGGTTACTTAGACAGACAATAACAAAAAAAGGACACCTTCAGTTCCTAATTATAGCATCTGTGCAGTTTAAGGCATTTCATATTCAGAGTCCCTGCCAGCTGACTGAGCAAGCATTAAATTTCTCCTCTTTCCATTTATAAGCAGGTATGAGCTGTTTCGACTACTGCTGGCCACTGAGCAGCAACTGTGAGGCTTTTTTTTTAGCATCATCTTAATGGCAGTTGTTAATGGCATGAATGGCTCGATTCATTCTGATTTCACACCCAGATAATTTGTGTATTTTAAGCAGCAAAATCTGTCACAAGTTTGCTATTTTACAATTAGGAGACATTTCCACCATCTGTTCAATGCCTCATTCTCCATCCCACTGCTGCCTGTGTACTCACCCTGACAGCCTCCAGAGCTTTGTTCTTCTTGTACAGGCCGCTGTTGATGTCATTGGGGTTGAACAGCGGGTCTCCAGCAATCTTGCTCAGCAAGTCCCGGGCAAAGTTGCTGACATAGTACTTACTGAAGTCCCACTTCCTCAGCACTCGGCCCGGAACCACCGCCTGGGAGTTCTCATGACAGCACTGGCAGAAGTAACGGCCGAGGTATTCACAGTAACGCAGACGCTTAATATAGTCTGAGGTGGGGGAAGGCAGCAGAAACAAAAGCACGGTAGAGGTAAGATTTTGAGTGAGTAAAAATATCTCCTCACTGTATTTCTATACATAAAGGAAAATACCACGTTTTAGGCCAGCTGATCAAATTGGAAAGAGACTATGTTTAAGTCTTACAGTTGCACTTTCTGTTTGTGAAATTATTATTGAAACTGTAAATGTAAATAGAAATTCAATGTTCACTGATACTGTTTGAATGGAAACCTGTTCAAGTATATAACAAAAATTTAAATCCCTAGTAAAAAATAAGAGAACAACAAAAACATTTAATTTCTGATTCTACAGAGGTCTGTCTGGGATTGCTGGACACACCTGGGTCAATGCGGGTACCACAGCCAGCACAGCGGTAGTTCTGTTTCGCCACAACTATCTTCCTCCTGACAGAGACAGAAAACATGTAAGTAACAAAACATTTTGTTGGACAAAGAGCGAAGACAGTGGACTGACCTTTATTAATGGGAATATGAATTAATGTACACGACAAATTTAGAAATCGCCAACAGAATTAAAGGCCAATTAGATTTTATGACAAAACCAACACAAAGACAGCCGGAAGCAGCTTTCTTGGAAAACCAAACCTATTTCAGAGCTCACAACATGTCACATTACAGTCATGCTGTCTCCACTTCCAAAAAAGGGAAGGTAACACCTGATCTGGACTCACTTAGGGGCAGGGTGAATGTTGAAGATGATCTGCGGTCGAGGCGGTGCCCACTCGAGGTTGCCTCGGACACGAATCCTCAACTTGTAGATGTCCGCATGTTCGCCGTCATCAGGTGAGATCGGCAGAGAGTCAGGAATGGGCAGGAGCTGGGACACAGCAAAGGAGGGTTGTATAAGTTTGGAGTTCAGTTTTGTCCTCTTACGGACTTCTCTAGATGACATCAGTTATTGCTTGTTAAGTGTCATGTGTGGAGAACTGAATTCTGATATTATTCTAAGCACAATAGAGTATGTAAGCAAAATTTTGTACCTTCTGTGGAGCGTCATGTTCTGGGACCAGCCAGTCGAGCTCTGAGGCTGCAGGAAGCTGCATGCCCTCAAACTGTCTGAGCAAACCCATGGCTACTGACTCAGCAGAGTTAGACTGGAGGAAGGATGGAGAGCTGAAAAACACACAGAGGAGAGAACAGATTTCCAAAAATGCCTTCGTTTGTTTAGTTTGCATCTAATCAATGAAGTGTCTGTATTACTTACATGGACTCTGAGCTGAGAAAAGACCTGGTGCTGGAGCTCACACTGCGCTTTATGTCTGCATCTGGAAGACACAACAACAGTAAAATAACAGAGACTTAAACATTAAGGAGCAGAGACAGACACATGAGAAAATCCTTTTATCCACCAGCCACAGAGACTAGATGATCATCATTAGTTGTGCAATAAAATCCAAATTTTGTGATTTTTAGAGTGAAGAAGAGTTATCACGTGATGGATGATTTTGTTTGGATAAAAATGTACCAGCAGGTGGCTGGTGGATGGTGTTTAATTCTCACAACAGGTAAAATGGCACCATTTGCTACAGCTAAGCAGCGTTCAATGTTGTGAGAAGAAAGGACTTAAGAGAGATGTGATCTGGGATACAAATGTAAGACAAATCCAGGAAGTCAATTTCCCTTTCCCTGCTGGAGTGAAATCCACTGAAAAATCTGAATCACATCTGATTAAGTTCAGGCAAATTTTAAATCTATTTTAGCAGGTAGCATGCGGGAAAGCTAAAGAGATTTAATGGTAGAGTAGAGATAACACTGCACAAACATGTGAAGTAAGCAAAGACATGAAGCAGTAGAGCTTTGGCAGAACAGGAGGCCGCCTGTGTGGATTGTTGTATAACTACAGTAGCTTCTGTCTATCAAAGGATCAACATCGTTTGCTGACATAAAACAATGGTTAGATTTACCAAGTTATCAGCAGGAATCAACAAATGGCTTTTGTTGTTCATGTGCAGACATTTTCTATTGGACTGATTAAACAAAAAAAATCAGGTTACAGTTTCATAGGCACTAATCCAACTGGCCTAAATAATGAGTGAAAAATCATCTGACCACATAATAATTCTCTGGCCTCATTTGTACAGAAAGTGTTGGAAGATTGTCAACTACAAAGTCACACTATTGTACAGGCACAGTGGCACAAAAAGCAATCTTTGCATGGTGATTGACTTTCAGTAATTCAGCGTCCGTATAAGTGAGGTGCAATTGCAGCATAATTACAAAGTGGGTGAAATTAGGACAAAATATTTTATCACTGGCATTAGGCAAGATTAATTCATTAATCTATTTACTGAGATTTGCTAAACAGAACATTTTGACATCCAACCAACTGCTGGTCCGTCTGATTAGGTTTAGGACTCGGGGGATAATGACTAAATCAAGTAACAATATACTGTTTTTTTACCAAATATCTTCATACCAATAATGTGATATTATTTTAGGGATGACAAATGCTGCTCTCAGAAAATTTATTAATTTAGAGGTAGAATGCGTTCTCATGGGAAATTGTGGTTTTGTACTATATACAACTATGTTTATTTGCATAAACTACAAATAATGTAGCCTATTTTTCAATATGGTTCTATTAATTTGTAACTTCATTTAACAAGTGCAAAATGCAATCACACTAATGATTTCAGTTTTAGTGAAATTGTTCTTGATTGTGATTAGGGTTACTGGATTTAGGTTCAATTTAGTTATTTTGGTTAAGGGATTCAATAAGTATAAATCATTTGAGGTTATCACACTGGACTGGGACATTCAATATTAATTCCAGTACACTTAAACAGCCTAATATGAACAAAAAATGTATCACTTCACACAGACCAAGAAAACAACATACTTTGACTAATATCACAATATTACCATAGCGAAAATCCCAAGCAATATCTGGTCTTCTCCTGTATCATAACGTGATCTTATATTGTGATATGTATTTTCCAGTTCTAATTAGGTACAGTCATGTTCATAATTGGTTTCAGACAACACAGCCTGTGTTCCTTCACAATTCATGACAAAAAAGAACGCCAGTTTTTCAAAGAGAGACAGCTGGTACTGGGTTGACTTCAAACTTTAAAAAGGAACAACAAGGTGGAAAGATGTATGTGGCAGCATTCACACCTCAATCTCACTGGGACCACTTTGAAGATAATTATAATGGGGTGGTTGAATGGATGGATAAATGAGTGAAAAAAGCCTGTAGTTACAGTCACCACAAAATGCCACTTGTTATTTCATTAATCTCCTCCCATGAACCTCTCTAAACTCTGACATGCACAGGCACATTTGTCCTCCTGCACCACCAAAACCCTGGAGCAACAAGCACCAACATAAACAGCCAAGTGCACAATTCAGCAGATGTGAGGAGGAAGCTGGCTCCCCTCCAAACTGAAAACTTACAGCATTCCCATTGAGATTTTTTGGAGTATATTGGAGAACTGTACTAGGAGAATAAACTTTTTAATCTGAACACAGGCACTTAAGTACAACAGCTGCTGTGACGCTTTCACTTGCAGAACATTATTAATTCTAAGGAAAATAACTAATTATTAACAGCTGATTACCTGCACAATCAAGCCAGTAATAGTTTGGAGTTTACATATCTGGAGTCAGGATGGTTTTTAATTCCAACTGTGAGAAGTTTGGTTATCAGGAGCACAGGAACTAAACGTTGTTATTGATCATTGTGATTATCTAGTAAAGTATCCTGATGCTTGGATATCAGCTCAGTTTGCAACTTGCCAATGTTTTTTTCCGTCATGCTGATTATTTCTGTGTGTGTATACACACATCTCATTACAAGGTGAAATATCTGGAAAATATATGCATAGAAATTCTTGGGGTTGACTCTGTAAATGTACAGAGAGCTGTTTGGACAGAATCGATCAGTAGGACTAAACAAAGATGGAAAATAGGCCATAAACTGGCACCGGCAAGAGTTATGCTTCACACCACACCCAGTTTAGCAGGAGGAATTAAATAAAGAAATTCTCAGTTTGGAGAGAAGCCATCAGCTTCCTCTAAGAGGAGCACCGCCTCAGTAAACAGTCTGTATGTATCTGTGGAGCCTCGCCCACCCGTCCAGCCTGCAGATACCTGAGAAGAGGGAGGCGAGTGACAGGGAGAGGCCGTTCTGTGACACCGCCAGCAGGGACTGACCCTCACAGCCATCTGAGAGACAGAAACTATCACTCAGCACAACCATCACCACACACAAACATTTTTAACACTCCACAGAGGTGTGTGTCAGTGTCACAGGCAAAATACACTGTACAGTATACTGCACCGATACCGTACATGTGGAAATCATGCAGTTATACAGCTCCAAGATACAACACACTTGTGTATATGCATACTGCAGTACCGAGACGTGCAGTTATACACAAACAGTCAAACACAAAGTACATGCACACATAAAATCCCACAACCCATGTTAATAGCATCAAAGTATTACATTTTCAGACACCTCTGTATGTTAGCGATTAGTCTCTTGTGGTTACTATTTGTCACACAAAACAGCAACAGGCATCTGCTTCCCTAACGCAGAAGGAAATGTTTCGAAATGACTGCCTGGAATACAGAAGTAGCTTTCCAACACTAGTCACACCCTTTAAATGTTGTGACCAAAATAATCCTAGATATATAATTTCATGACTGTAATGTCTGTATAAATAGCAACACTAATAAAATCATTTTACTGTCCCAAACACTACAGACTTTGTACTCAGATGTCCAAGTTTATGGGCCATGGTAAAACACGACATGCTTGGTGAGTAATATGAAGACAGTGTGGTGATGAGGGTATGAATTATGACTGGAACAGAAAGGAACTCATTCACACAGATAGATAACGAATTCTTAAGCATTTTTCTTTTAAAATGGAATACTTTTTTCCAAATAGATGTCAACACTACGTTAAAGTTCAAATTTGTAGCTGTAGCCTGTTCATAATCAAATAAAAAGATGCTGGCTGAAATGACAAATCCACAAAAAGTGCAGTTATATAGCTGGAGTGAAGAAGTTCACATGGTCACACTGATTTAGCAGTTGTGATACTTAATAATAAATCCAAAAGAAAAATCTAATTTTCTGTTCTTTTCCCCCTCTGTGAAAGGCTTCCCTGGTGCTCCCTCATTCCCTCTCTCTACCTCTCAGTTCACACTCCTCCACCTCCTCAGCTGAGCCGGAGTCAGACAGGCCCTGGTAGGAATCCTGGGAGCTCCTCCTGGAGCCTCCGCTGTCAGTGGAGTGAAAAACTGCAGGAGTGGAAGGAGACGTGAGACAAAACAAAGAATGAGACAAATGAACGACAGAAATCAATAGAAACAGATGAAAATTATACAATATATACCCTATGATGCCAGTGAGACTAATTTATTGAGCCAGGAGGAAAGATTTGAGAATGAGACATATGTTGAATACATCTAAGATTTTAGTGGGGGTTTTGTTCCTCTGTAGGTGAATGCACCCATTTGTTAGGATTTGTTGTTAAAATCTAGTCCAAGATCAATGTATTTTTGTTTTTAGCGTGTTACAACAGAGGTGTCATTTTCAAAAGATATCTAATAAAGCTTACTCACCATTAAATGACCATAAAATAGTAAATAATCAGCATGAAATGTCTTTTGTCGACCAAGAATCATATGAAGGAAATATCGTGCACCTGTACAGATGATTATGTTTTTTATCTAACTGCACCCCACTTCTAAGGCTGACTTACTGTGCTGGGACGTCGTGCAGGGCGGCAGGCGGCTGCGACGGATCTGTTGCCTGCGCAGGCGGATCTTCTGCTTGAGCTGCTGAATCTCACAGTCGCTGTCTCCCTCCTCCTCGCCCTCCTCCTCCTGACGCCGCAGGTTGTACTTCATCAGCTCGATCGCTGCAATAAGGGACTCTGAAATGCTGAAATGAGCGTTCTCCTACAGAACACAGAGCAAATTAGAAATAAGCCAGGAGAGAAGACTAACTTCATTGTACTTTTTCTAAACCTTTATTTCACACAGGATTTACAGAATTTTTGTAGTTCTTCTAATCAAACCACTATTTGTAAAGCCCTTTATATAAAAAGGGTATACAAATGGAGTTTGACTAAATCAATGATTAGCCAACTGACTGATCAATTAGCACCAACACCGGTTCTAAATAGTCATGAGTTCAAATGCCCTGACCTTTTCGAGGTCAGCACAGCTGCCAAAGTCCTGCTCTGACAAGTAGCTGATGAGGCTCTGGCCTTCCGACGGCTTCCTGAACATCCCATCTGACACACTGCTGTACTGGGATCCATCTGAACACCCAAAACATACACAACCAAACACCATTACAGTTACGCACACAAGTGATTCAATGTTGGAATTTTTACATTTTATCAATTTGGTATAAACTAAATTAAATAAAATACTCTAAGCTTGCCAAAAAACTATTTCACAATATTGTGGTGAATAAAACATTTAATACTGACAAATACACCTAACGACTTTTCTTTGACCTTCCTGCTCAGGATCCAGAGTGTCATGTTAATGGACCAGCTGACATGTTTGCTACATTCATATACAGAAACTAAAAACTCTTTTTTTCCCCCCAAGAAACATTCATGTCAGCTTTCCTGTCCCACTTCCTCCTGTATATAAGTTTGCAGGGGACTTTCTCTGGTTCACATCTCACTTACATTTTAAACAATCACCAAATAAAACCCATGGATTCTGTTACTACAAAAGACAGTTTATCTATGTTTATGACAATTTATGATTTTATGTTTATGCATTTTACATAATTAAAATATGTTATCCTTTTATCCTTGATTCAAAACCAGGTACAAGACCAACTGAATTGAAACATGAATAAATGTAAAATGCAAACAAGTGCAAACAGTAGTTAAAAAATGAAAAAAAAACAAACAAATGCATTATTAGGTATTGCAAACAGAATATCAGAAAACTCACGAGACTCCATGTAGAGGGAACTGGGGGTGCTGGAATCACTGCACTGAGTTGAGAAGGGGCTGTAGTCCTTCATGCAGCAGTCGTCGCCTGCCGACTCTAAGAGACAAACAGTCCATATTAACGGAACTCTTATCCCCTACAAGCCAGAGTCAATACGATCGATAATGAATTCTTAAAAACTGATGGGAACATGCACCACCATTTATACACAGCGCAGGGACAGCGACTGGTTAAACACTGCTTTGATTGTATCATCGTTTTTGTGTCAAACAATCAATGAAATCTATGGCGATGGTTCATTTTAATCGCATGCAGAAACACATATAGGGCTGCTGAGTGCTGACCTTTGTCAGTATAATGTGAGTCAGTCTGTATAATTTAATAAAAACTGCACAAATTCCCCTGCTAACAAAAATTTCAGAGAGGTTCAGAAGACACATCTATGCAAAAGCTGGTACACAATAGTGACCCAATTATTATTTTTACTAAAGAAAGATTTATGTATATTAAATTACAGTGTACAGTTATTACATTCTTTATAAGTACCTCATGTACAGGCAGTAAATACAGGAAAACTCCTGCTGTAATTCATCTTTGACATGTAAACATTAATTGTTAACATTACATTACAGACATTGGCATACAGCATAACTGTACGGAAAGGAAACAAAACACTCTGATAATTCATGAAAAATGTGTGCATGAACACCACAACAATGAAAGTGATCATTCATGGCTTTGTCACATCAATTTGACTTGAATAAAACCAACAACTAAAACAAAACAGTTAAAAAAAATAACCTCAACAACCAAAAGCACAGATTATGAAGCTGAAGGCAAAACTGAAAATGAGAGGGATGGAGAGAGTTCATCACCATGCAGAGAAAAATAAAGCGGAGGGTGGGAGGGGTCAAGAGATGGAGTACAGTGAAACTGCACTGCCAACCTGCAACTGGATCTTCTATTATTATGGTGATTTTTCGGTGGCCCCCTCCTTCGCACAAAAAGTAGAAAAAGACACGAGAGAAATAGAGCAGAGAGAAAGAAAGTTACCTCAAGCCAAGAAGGGGAAACAGTGAGCAAAGAGAGTAGAGATGTTATTAAGCGTCAGACAGGAAGTGTGCACCTTCTGAGGGCGAATGTGGCCTCGCCATATCTTACACAGCTACAAATGAACACACACTATTCAGCTATAACTCCATCTAAATCACACTCTCATTTTATCCAGACACTGTGCAGAAGGGGAACTGTTTAATAGATGTTTCTATCACCTGCAGAAAGCTCAAGGCTCATTCTAAAACTATTTAACCCTTTAAGTCTTAAATTTATTGGAAAAAAATAAAAAGAATAATAAAAATCATCATTATCATGATCATCATAAATACAGTTGCTCGTCAACCACACTCCGATTTCAATTCAACCTTCACTAACATATAAACAGATGGAGTGTAGCCCACCTGCAAATGAGTTACCTCCAAGTTAACTCACCATTCCTGAGTTTCTGATTGATCCCAGTGTCGGAAAAGGAACGGGTGTGTCCTCGGGACCCACGGCCCGGCCCCCTCTGACCCTCTGAAAAAGATGAGCGTCTGGGTGGGGGCAAGGCCTGGGAACTCCGTTCAAGGGACTGGTCCGGGTTCTCGCCGTGCTCACTACTGTGGGTGGAGCTTTGGGAGTCACGGCGACTGCGTTGCCCCAGGTTACCGATAGCCAAGTATTCTGGACCATCATCATAGTCGCCATCACCAGAGTCCGCGGTCTCTGGCTGAAGGGAGTTGGGTGTGGGAGACTCTGTTAGGGAGATAGAAGGGACCGAGACAGGGCCAGGAGGGGGGGTCACACCCCACTCGCTCTCCCCTGGCCTGGACACACACACCCAGGGAGCTCCCAGGTTGCTAGCTGAAGAGGTAGTATCTGTAACACAAAATGTAGGAGAAAGCAAGCAGAAGGAAGCAAGTAAGAAGCATGCTTTTACAACAAAATTTTCCAAAAAAGAAAAACTTACGGTCACATGTATGGACAAGGTTATCTTAAACATAACTGGAATTTAAGTTTGTATTTAATGCAAAGTAACAATAATGTTAAAATGTGCTTAGGAGAACCAGTCCAAGTTGGTTTTTAGCCATTTTAGTGAGCCAGTTCAATAACTGGCCTTGTTCACAAACAATCAGGCCTCTGTATGGTTAAGTCAGTCACTCTATTCACATACAAACTGTAGGGCATTCATAGATGCCCTGACACCACCCCCGGTATCCGTCTATATACTGATTGCAGAATAGTGACCATTTTAGTTTGCTTCACTTATTGCGCAACCTCAAAATCTGTCATTTCACAAGCCTGGTCCTCTTTGGCGAGACTGTTAACTGAAAATGATCTTGTGGGATTATCTCACTAAATTTCTTTTCCTTAAAATTGACCACAAACCCATATGTGGTCAAATATTGTAACAAATCATCTGGTGACACACATCTGCACTTCAGATATCAACATATCAAGTACTATTGCTTTGCGTGATGACTGTTACATCACCACAACACATTTACACTTACATTAAAAAGTCAAAGATTATATAAAAATCTGTCAGTCAAATTTATTGATTAGTGTGAACCATTTAACAGTAATTAACAGCAATTAAATAAAAAACAAGAAATGTCACCCACCTGCCTACATTTAATTGGCCCTATGAGCTGACAATACAAATGGTACGAATTTGTAAGCATTAAGCCTACACATCAAAAAAACACAACATGAACCCCCACCAACCATGAAAAATCCATTTAAAAACCTTCATTATCACCCTTCAGCTTTTCCTCACTTTTGCTGTTGCTGATTAGAGATTCGACTCCCGTAGTGTTCCCGGATTTGTGGCTGGGGGTGACTGCTTCTCGCAGAGAACAGTTGGAGGTGGTGAGTCTGCGGTTTAGAGATTCTCCTCGGGGGGCCGAGTCACGGTTCTTCCAGGCCCCACCAGCCCCTGGCAACACACACAGGCTCTGGCTCTTCAACAGACCCAGACATGGTGGGCCCTTCAGAGGGGACAGCTGGAGGGTGAAAAGGGCATAAAAAAACTTAAAGCCATGTCCCAGGTCTTCTTCTTAAAACAACACTTATTTTGAACTCATCATCATTAGGACTGAATGCAATAAATAGATACAAGTGAAGGTGATGAACAACAAAATTATGGGGTTCAAGATAAAACAAATAAAGCAGAGAGACATTATTGAAGCACCGCTCAAGCATTTAAGTAATTTCATCAGACCCACCCCAACAGTGTCTACTTGGGCTAGCAGTTTGGGGTTGTTCTGCTCTACAGCTTCCAGACACTGAAACATGGCGGTCACATGGGGCTCACTCAGCAGAAAGGCATCATCTAAAAGATAAGAGAGATACAAGGAGACAAAAACAGAGAATGAGACAAAGAGAGGTAATAAGATAAGATAGGGAGAGCAATAAACAGTAGGCAATAAGTGAAAAAACAAAGAAAGAGAAAGTGAAAAAGAGAAGTTCGTACAGAAGGACAGGAACAAACGCAAAGGGAATTGCACAACAGAAAGTGACTTTAGCCATTTCTTACTTATTTTAGCTTACACTGCACAATAATTTCTTATATATTAAACTGAGACTGAACAACTCACCATTATAGTATTTACGTTTATGGCCTAGATGCCTGAGCAGAGGTCGGAGCTGAGCGGACAGCTTGTGAACCTGTAAGCTGTGAAGCAGCCAGCGCTCGGCCTTGTAGCTTTCACCAGCACTCTGCATCCCGCTGCTCAGTACCGGCTCCAGGTGACTGAACTGAGGACAGAGAAAGAGAGAGAGAGAGAGAGAGAGAGAGAGAGAGAAAGAAAGAGTCAGAGAGAAATGTGAAACAGATCTGCAAGGGTAATGGTAGAAAAAATGCTTTTCATTTCAATATAAAGACAAAATTTTAATACTGCTTTACTTCGTTTTGTTTTTGTCGTCCACACTGTTAATTAAACCGCACAGCAGCCAGTATGGTGGGATCATCTTCACTGGGTTTTCTGTGGTTCACATTTCTGTAGGCGGCACTCTTGTAGACCAGTAAAGTCTGGCAGTCTATATGATACTCTGTCTGTATGTACGTTTTTCAAATACCTTTTTTGATATCATACAGAATGAAGTTTAATATAATTTTCATTGCCATGTCCATCAAAGAATGACAGCAGGGACAATAAGGTCTACAATTTTTTCAGTAATTCCCATCCAGTTCATTATAGTTAATCTAAATGTAAGTTTTTGCTTCAACTGACAGTCTCCTTAAATACCTTCTGAGGCCCTTTTTTGAGATAACTGAATTCAATGCTTATTAAGACTTTTCAAGAGATACCAGCAGATACCCTGGGCTAAAGCAGGCTCTACGTGGTATGATGCAGGTGATCAGCTTGCCAGTCTGAACAGAGTGAGCAATGAGTGGAACAAGGAGTGAGAGAAACATATCAGCACAAATCTAGGAGAGTGCAGACGAGATATCAACAACAAATCGTCACATGATGATTGCATCATGGCTGAGCGAGCTGCAAGCCCTGTTGGAGAGTAACGGGCGTAAAGAAGATTAGATTCCAACTACTCCAGATCCGCTTGCTGATGCACAGTATTGTCAACACTTGACAGAGGGGACTGGAGTTGAAGGATGACTATTCTCTACAACACAAACTTAACACAACAGGTAATCCAGGAAGTGTAGTGACTTTGCCGAGGTCATCTTTTCATGGTACTAACACTGCACATTACAGCTTTACATAAGTAGGAACTATTGTTTTTTGTCTTTCAGGCAGACTTGTTATCAAAACCAAAATCTACTTTCACTGTCAAACATGCAAAGTCAAGGACAATTCATTAGCTAAGTGAGCATTAGTTTCCTGTCACAGTGGTTGGTGGGGCAAACAAAAAAAAATAACAAAAAAAAACTGCCTCAGGCAAAATATAAAGATTCACCAGTTTATTCCCTCCTACAAGAGCTATACACTGTAGAAGTAAAAAGTAAAAATGCATGGGTACACATCACCTGTTGTCTGAAAATGAAATTACAGAACTGAAACATACCAGCCCCTCTTCCGCAGTAAATGTGGAACCTAAAAGGTTTCGAACAATGTTTTGAACTTTGAAACAAAGCAAGCAACAAGATGACTTATGATTAGGAGACAAATAACACTACTCTGTGAATAACTCATCATAGTCAGCATTACAAGTTTTGTCAGTGACTCATTTTCCCTTCAACAGCAACATCAGTGATGCTATAATGCTAATTATACATTTCTAATTACATTTGCCCCAGCTCACATTCACATACTCAAGATTAATGTCTAATCAGTAAAGCATACCATTTCTTACACATAACCACGTTCTCTGAGGGACATGACGAAAACTGTACAGCAAAGTTCACAATCTGGAAGCCCGCGGGTCAGACAACCTTACACTGTTAAATTGGATATAACAGCTAACAGTCAAAATCTGTATTTTAAAAAATTTCAAGAGCAACTTTGCAATGTTTAGGGCGTGTGTTCATATAAACTTGCCTCTCGTCACAAATTCAAGATATTTGTGTGCCAACTAAATCTGAAAGTATTTAAATGCCATCCTGGCAGTGGCCATACCTGTTCAACGTGTGAGGCGAGTTGAGGGCTGATATAGCGAACACACCACACAAACGGCCAGTAGTCTCTCTGCTTGTAGTACACCTGCAACACAAAACCAGCGGTTAGCATGACCCAGACACAGAGAATAGGAGCGTCAATAAACACAACAAGCCATCACGGAGAGGGAATGTGTCCCACATTTCGGTATTTTTCCCTAAATTTGAGGAGGTGAACTGATGATGAAAGCTAACACCTGTCTCCCGTCAAAACGTTTAGAAAAAGTGACCTTCTACATTCTACCAGCTGGCGACGTGTGGTGTAAGTGAGAAACTTTCCTGTAACATAATCTTTAATGATGTGAAGGTCTTTAATGCCTTTTCTTCAATTTTCCCACTAAAATTGGGGCATTATGTGGTAAAGGTAAAGCCTATATTTACTGGTAATATAACTTAAGTTTTAATTACTTCTGTATATAAAGTAGGTTGTCACTGACAATTGTTTTGTATTGCCCTGCACTTCACATCCAAGTACAATATGATGTCACAGGTGTAACATGGGCAATCTGGAAACACTGAGCCAACTAATGCTGCAGTTTGTTGTCCGATAGTGTGGTTTTTGTTTGTGTGGCCAACCATGTAAATTCACTGGTTAAAGTTTAACAAATGCTAACTTTGACCTGCAAATCTGCCCAAGTTGTCCAGAGATCACACTGAAAGTGATCAGTATTTTACTTTGTTTACAAATTGCACAAAAAACAAATAATTACAAAAGGGAGAGTGGTATCAGTCAGATTTCCTGACCTGCTCATTCTTCAGTCCATGGCTGAGGATGTTGTTCATGTCCTTGTGGAGCCGCTGCAGGCCACCATAACGTGACCACACATTGGGGTTGTTGGTGGACACGAGACCCTCAACTGTGGTCTTCAGGCTGGACAGCAACTTCCAGTGCTCCCTCCTGAAAGGAAAACATGGCAGCAGGAAGGAGTGAGGCAGGAAGTTTAGGAATGAGGAACGGGGTAAAGAAGTGCTGGTGTTAGCAGTGCTGGTGTTAGGCTTGAATCATTACTCACAAGAACAAAAACACTTCCCGAAATAAAAAAACTGCATCTTCAGCAGTTAAGTTACAAAAACCTAACTTAACTCAGTGATTACCTAGAACTGCTGCACATGAATACATGTGTCAACAGTATTACCACACCCTTTCCTACACAGACAGATACATAAATATTGGCATTAATTCCCATAATAAGAAATTTGAAGTCCTGCACTCACGATGTGCAAGTCTATATCCTTATCTTGAGGATACAGCTATGGAGAGCTGTTGTTCAGAGAGTGTCTAAAAGATATCAGGTCACACTCTATAACAACAGGTCAGCAGTAAAACTGGAAGCCAGAGGCTACCAAGAACCTAGAGTGCATAATTTAAATGGCCATCTCATGCTTTTGTTTTTATTGTTTGGTGTGTCCTTAAATGCATCATAAAGATGTAACAGTCAGCCCTAAAATATGTCATTAGGTTGTAGTTGAAAACATTTGAAGGTCCAAAGACAAGAGGAAAATGGTATGTTTCCTAAAATACTAAAAATGACATCTCAGACAAAGACAGTGGAAATATACATATAAGATATATGCCTAGTTAAAAAATAAAGGCTATGAAATCTATGAAGGGGGCTCTTATGAAAACAAGTCTTTTTTTATAGAAGAGCAGCAGCATCACGAGTTCAGCTGCCAAGCTAACTAATCAAATGCAATCATGTAACATGAAGAGAGGGAGACTGAATCTTAGAGAACATTCTCCACATATTATAGAGCATGATACATTTACTCAACAACAGAGGTCTCTGTGTTGTGTGTTGTGTGTTGTATATGTGTATGTGTGTGTGTGTTGGTCATTAAGGAGTAAAATTCCACAAGGCTCGAAGAGGTTGTTGAGGTTAAAGATTAACCTCACAACTCTCCGTCTTGTTTGGGTGTGTTTGTGTTTATGAGTGAGTGAGTGAGTGAGTGAGTGTGTGTGTGTGTGTCAAGGGTCAAGACAGATTTGTTTGTTTATACAATCTGACCTTTAATTCTTAGACAAAGAGGATCTCAAAGTTATCATGATGTACCCTGCTCATCCAGTAGTGGAATACATCTACCTGAGTATCGTTCTTAAGAATAGATTTGAGGCACTTCACTACATGTCAAAGAGAATAATTGTTCTTTTTACTTTTATCACATTTATCTGACAGGAGGATGTAATAGTTACTTTTCAAACTAAGATTTGACATTTAAAAGTAATCATGATAATCTAAAAAAAATACAACACAAGGGAAAATCAGTGGTTCTCAACCTTTTTGGCTTGTGTACCTATGATGTCCCAACAGGGCAGGTATTTCTAAGCAATACTCAAACTACTCATATGAAAACAATGAGTACAGTATGTTCACTATTCAGAGTGAAAGGACATTAAATTAGGCTCCTGTTACAGCACACGGGGTTAAAACTTAGTGAAACTGTGCAGAATTTACTCACGACACTACTCCCAAACACGTTAAAAAAGTAATCGTATTGTCAACAGCCTGAAATAAAACAAGCACTCCAGCTTGCGTATTCCACTATTTAAACCCCTGTCCTAGCCCACTAACCTCTATAACTAATGTGTGAAAATAATTCTTCACAACACACCATGCGACAGCGAACAGCTAGAAAATGTCAACTTGATTTGACAGCTAGCTAGTTAGCTGTTAGCACAACCTAGCTAAGGAGTAGCTAACAGATACCTATTAGGCTAGTGAATGCCTTAGCGATAAATAAACAACAATGCTGCTTTGACGGTGCCAAAACGTTCACAAAGGAGTAGATGGTCTAACACTTGACCTATTGGATTTGACAGATAGAAGCCGCACAACTGATGTTGCTATCTCAAAGCTGTCAAACCTTAACATGTCAGGTTATCTTAGCCTAGCATTGCTGCTAGGTTATAAACCAGCATCAGTACTCCACCACTGCTACCCGACATTTTTAGTGTCTCAACTTAAGTGAGTTGCCGGTCCTTTTGGTCGTCTTGGATTAACTACCGAATGAGTTCACGGTGTTACAGTTTCTAGTTTTGTTGTTTATGTCACCACATTCACTCTTAGCCCAGCTAACCGGCTATAATCAGACCAGCCCAGGCTGTCACTCACCTGCGCTCCTCCGCCTCTCCCTCCACCGTGCTCTCCATGTCCTCCGGGAGGAACAGAGCTCCGTACAAAGCTGCCAGCTTCAGCGATATTTCCCCCTACCTTACTTGGTACAACGGAGTTTTATCGCGGTAGCAGGGTTGCTCTTGAAAGAGTCACCCGGATCTCCAGTGTTCCGCCATGTCTGCTCCTGCCCGTCCCGAGCCGTGGATCAAAACAGTAGAGGCCGCATGACCGCTCTCATCAGCGAGTGGGCGGGGGTGTTGTCCTCTGCTCTGCCCACTTTTTAATCATAATAGCGCTTTCACTTTAAATAAACTCACAGTTCATTTCACCCCGTTATTTAGCCTGTGTATCATCTGTGCTTTTACTAGGCATGAGGTATGTAAAGTGAATTATCAACAGAAGTGGCTGATGAAGAAAGAGTTTTCTAGATTAACAGAACCGTTGAGTGGATTTTGGTCAATGCTTCCACCTGCTGTTACAAATTGATATTGCAACTATGACTGCTGCCCCTGGTTTGAACTCTGTCTCACGCCAATGTTTAAGGTGATGAATAATGTCCAAGAAGTACTCTGATACTGTACATACTTACCTATACAACTGTAAAAGTTTGTATGAGCTATCTTACTCAAGTAAAAGTACAAATGTATTATCTAAGCTAAATTTATCCAAACTACCAAAGTAAAGTACTTGTTTTGCCCATGTGACCAAATTTGTTGTTGCTGCTGAAGGTGGAGCTAGTTTTACCTACTCTATATACAGTGAGACAGTTTAGTCCAGGGGTTCCCAACTTAGTTACTGGGCTCCTCCAAAAGGTCACCAAGCGTCATGAGGAGGTGATTAATGGGAGAGGAATGAAATTCTGATACACACTGAACTGTTTTCAGTTTTTGGATTTTGGACATAATTTTGCTGAATAATCTGATTTGTTGGGCCTTGTAAAGTTTAAATTTTAAATTAAACTATCTAAGAAATTTAGAGGACAAATGTCTCTTTGGTTGAACTGCTAACAACTCATAAATATCCAAAACATGACAAGGAGACACGACTACATGTCACTTTTTTAGGTAGTGGTCACAAGCAAAAAATGTTGGGAACAACTGATTTAATCTTTAACATTGTGTTGTATTTTGCAAGATTATCATGTTTTTCATTTTAAATCTCTATCTGAAAAGTAACCAGTGCTTCCTGCTGTCAGATAAATGTAGTTGAGTACAAAGTACAATATTTTCCCTCTGAAATGTGGTGAAGTTCAGTATAAAGTAGCATCAAATGGAAATACTCAAATAAAGTGCCTCAAAATTGTACTTAAGTGCAGTAGTTAAATGTACTTATACTCATAATGACACACTGTTTACATTAATTCCAATAACTTCACCTTCAGTTGTCTGAGGAGTCAAAGTGAGAGATAACACTGAGCTCTGCAGCTCGATGCAGTACTTCATGGCTTGGATTCACACATACTGTAGATGGTAAGTCTAGGCTGAATGAGAGGTCTTTCTTTGGTAATATGTCATGTTCGTAAAGGCCTTTCTCATGGCAGACATTTGCCATGGCATGGTATTGGTAGAGTACAGGTAGAGGTGTCGAATGGATAAAATCTTAAAACTGGATAATATCTTCTATCATGGTTCATATAATATTATTTTTCAGTACACAGATTTAGTACTCATATTGCCTACAAGTCTCTTCCCTGCTGTCTGTTGTACATTTGAAGCTACTTTCATATCATACCCACATGATGGCACCACAGCCTTGAACTATGTGTTGATTTCATCTACACTAAGTCACATGAATCAGATTTATCCATTGATGGCAGTAGCGAGTCAAGGCAGTGTAACAGCCCCAGTAATTGCTAGGCGTGGCCGCAGATGACTGAATGGTGAGTAATTGTGCTTGCCTAATGAACACAAAAAACGCACATGCACACACACACACACACACACACACACACACACACACACACACTGTGGGCAGTTCCTGCAAAGCACAAATCCCCACTGAGGTTACATAAGACTTCCTGTGCTGTGTGACATTATATGACACTTGAGATACTTTGGTACAAGAGCATTGCACAATTGTAACTTGCCAGCGTTTTTCAGTGTAGGGGGAAATCTGATCTTATTCCCTTACTCTCTGGAAATATGTAAATACAGAGGATATAATATTATTCAGTTATTGGATTATGGTTATTGGTGTATTAACATGTAAATAGCATTTTGATTTTTGGTGCTGTTTGCGCATGCATTTTAATATAAAGCACATTAAGTTTTCTTGCCGTTAAATATGTAATTTAAATAAAAAATGTTTTCACCATTATTAAAAATTTTATATAATTGTAGATTTTGTATACTGTATATAAAAAGGACAATATCTCGCTCTGAAATGTGGTGGAGTAAAAGTGTAAAGTAGCATAAAATGGAAATACTCAAGTAGAGTGCTTGAGTATATGTACTTAGTTACTTCCCACCACTGTATAACACACACAGTATGTCACGCTGAGCATGTTTAATGTGTGCCCTGATTCCTGACACGTACTACATTGTGTGACAGGAGTTAGGGCACGTCAGGACAACTTGATAATCAAGTTATATGTTGGGGAAGTTGATTTTAGTTGTCATGCTTCATTCATGGTTTTAGAATTACTGAACTGCAGGCTATTTGCTCACAGTGACGAGGCAGACCCACCCCATTCATACCACAACTCAGTTTGAGCTGCTGTGACTCACAGCTGTAACTTGCTGCAGCTTGAACACAAACGATTAGTGGAAAGTAGGTGAATGGGAAGATCTGTCACAGTGACGCAAAACCCGGCTCATCCAGTTTTTTTAGTTTGCAGTGATGTGCCAGTTGGAGCCTACAGTTGCTTTTGTAGTTTGCTCTTTTATGTTGTACATTCATGGAGAAGTCAGTAAATTAATTATGTTTTTTTTTTTTGTGTGTGTGTGTGTTTGTGTGTGTGTGTGTGTGTGTGTGTGTGTTTGTGTGTTTGTGTGTTTGTGTGTGTGTGTGTGTCCCATTCAGCAAGAAAACCATGTGTATTCAGACGGTTTTGTAGACATGTGACAAGTAGCAAGAAAGAAGTGTGGTGGAGAATATGCTCAGAAAAACTCTTATGTAGCCTAAAGGATGAATTTGTGTCTTATAAAATCTATTCACTAGTGCCAAATTTTTCTGAAGTGCCTTTTGTTCATGTTATACAACACAATATGTCATCATTTGCAGGCAGGGAGTGTAACGTTTTAATGTAATGACCGAGAGAAAAGACTTTCTAAACAAGATTTTTGATCTGATAAACCTACCCAGATTCTGGACTAAGAACAAGCCCAAATTGCCATTCCAACTTTCTGTGGAAAATAAATAACAGTTTATGAGATTACAGGTAACTTTGTAGAAGCCTAAAAGGGAAATTGGACGCACATTGTGGCACCTGTAAATATAGACACCAACGCATCTTGGAAGCTGGTGATTTGTGCAGCAAAGTGTAAATAAGTGCAACACATTGTTTCCTAATGAATGTCTGAAACATTCAGAGGAAGACCAGCAGACTCTTCCTCTTCATTTTCTTCTGTTTTTTTTTTTTTATCTATAGCAGTTTATAACTAGCTGTTTATACAAGTACAAATGTTCAAAGTACATACGTAGCAGGTTATACAAAGAAGCTTCTGGAATGAAAAACGTTACATTTTAAAGGGCGAATAAGTCAGGAGTTGTTTGCAGGAAGGATATTGGAGATTGTGACTCAATTACTTGGGAAAGTTGCTGATGTCTGTTTCTCTTGAAAACTCTTTTTTTTGTTTGGAAGACTCACAAGTTTTGGAACAAACGAACCCTCCTCCTCAAAGATGTGGCAACTCGTGTCAACAGGCTGCTTTAATCAAAGGGAGGAAAGGTGGGAGTGAATGAGGTCACATATATATTATTGCATTTTCTTCTGGTCACATAAAGAGATCACTGAAGATCACTGAGATTATTTTATGTTTTTTCTCTGAAAATACAAGGCATTATTTAGCACCATTGGCTATGGTTCCTTAACGTGATCACCATCTCGAAGCCATGGTTTACGTTACTTTATCCTCATCAGTGCATGGACACATTGGCGACTCTACTGTATGCAGAATATGTGCAGTGAAACCGGACACCAGGGCCAACCTCCTTTGGTTGCTGACATAGGGGGAGTTGTTATAGATTGCGTATTTTCTCTTTGTTGATACGCAAGCATGGCATTCACAGTTTGACATAAGATGTGACGAACGTGCAGAAGCCTTTGCCAAAGACAACACTGAGTCAGTCCACATCCGGAGAGAAAAAATAACAGAAATATTATATAGTGGTGGACAAAAAAGGGCACAGTGGAAAATATTTGGGCACCAAAGAGCAGAGACGAGTGTCAGAAAACAAAGCTTAAAAAAGTGGGTGTTATTTTTTTTTAACATTCATTGATTCATTAAAGAGAAAAAAAGACTGAGAAACAGAGGGGGCAAAGAGGGAAATAAGTATAACAAATAATTCCTTATTCAGTTCATAAACACTGACAATTAAAGTATTATTGTGACTTTCAGTGGTGAAATTCACATCAGCTGGCAGTGCACGTCACAGTCTGGCGTGGGGGGGGGGGGGGGCTGGTTTGAAAATCACTGCTGCTTGATGTCTGGGATGACTAATCCTCATTTGCACATGCCTGAGTCTATGCAGGTATCAGCTTCACCGTCCTTCTTCAGAAGACACAGATTGCTCTGTTCCATGTAAACCAACCAACCCCCCCCCCTGCAAACATGCAGGAACTACTTAGGCCTACTTCCCCCTTAGAAAAATTATCAGAGTCTCCTAGTTCTGAGGAATTGTGGAAAGAGGATGTGAGTTTCTCTAGATGACTGAGACTGGGATATTCTGAAGTTAGAGCTGGCTGGAGACCTCATTTCTAATAAAGTCATTGTTGTGGCTGAATAGCCATTACAGGCATTCACATCACAGACATGTTGTTTTTGTGTTGTCTTTCTGTTAAAGATTTCATAATATATTTTGAATGTAATGTTATTTCAAATATTATTTTAATGGGAAAATGTTTATTAACAAATGCCATATATCTACAGGAATACCAGATCCAAGATTTACCCTTTTTCCATAAAGATTTTACACATTTGATAAACTCTCTAAACCGTAGAAGAACAAATGGAGCATACACAT